CTCAAATGTAATTCTAAATGGGGATTAGACCTCATTAATATTCATGAGCTCTGCTGTGTGTGTGTGTGGAGAGAGAGAGAGAGAGAGAGAGAGAGAGAGAGAGAGAGAGAGAGAGAGAGAGAGAGGAGAGAGAGAGAGAGAGAGAGGAGAGAGCGAGAGAGAGAGAGAGAGAGAGAGGAGAGAGAGAAGGGGGAGTCTCACAATAAAATCAAAATGGATAAATTGAACTTCTATTCTTCTTTTTTCCTTAATTTCTCACATGTTGGAGCGACGAAATATCATCACAAAGGAATTAACGGTAACAAATAATAAAAGCGTTATTATAAAAGCTGCTTAGGCTTCCCGGCCTTTCAGGAAATGTTAGTGCATGTTTATAAACTAAAAGACAGCTTTCTGACAAACTAAATAACCTCTCAAACATTTTAAGCCTCCACATAATGAAAAGGTGATTTTCTTTCTCTTGAAACAATCAGGCTATAGTTTACATTTTTGATTTAATCTAAATACAGTCTTTTGAGTTTGTGAAAAAGACACGCCACTTCAAGCATGGTGCAATTCAAAGAGACACACCAACACCATGCAGGTTTTTTAGAAGAAACGGGTTTTAAGTGGAGGAAAAGTCCGCGGAATTCGTTTTTTAAGTGCTTTCAGTTGCTCTTTTAAGTAAACTGTTAAATCATTAACAAATCTGTATAAATCTCCTTCCCGCCAGCAGCTCTCTGTGTTTCTCCTGCAGGCCTCAGAAACATTTCCATCTTTTCACAAACCTCTCTGCTCTGGTCTTGGGACCCGGACCCGGACACGGAGGCGGGGAAAGTGGGAGGGGCCTCTCGCGGTGGTCTCTGCGCTGATTGGCTGCCCAAGCTGTCCGTCACCCAGGAGCTGCTCGCTGGTTGGCTGAGGGAGGCGGATCCGCAGGTGTCCTCCGCTCATAGAGGCGCGGGGCGGAGAGAAGGTGATCAATCTCAATTTCGTCTCCATTAGAAACAAGAAAATCACCTAACACTCTGACAGACAGCGACAAGCCCCCTGAAAGCAAATGAGTCTGATTTATTTGGCTGCAAAAACACCCGGAAACGCGTGCTGATATTTCTGCGTGTTTTTCTGTGTGATGCTGCCCGGTTCCGCGCGCTGTTGTTTGTTTTTCAGCGAGTCTGTTTGAGTTCGTCAGACTTCCTCCTGCTGGATAATTTTACTGCTGCTCGCGTCTGGTGGCCCGGGAGCTCGGGAGAAGGGAAGAGGAGAAAAACAAGGTAACGTTTCTTCACTTTTCACTCATTAAATGCGCATTATCTGCAGTTTTTACGCATTTAGCCTAAACTCCAAACGACACAACTCTGCGTCAGAAACAGAAGCAGCTGAAGTGTTAAAGCGACACACACAAAAGTCACTTTTTGAAACATTTAGGAGACTTAAAGTGTGAGGTGAATTGTCTCCATTTGCACGGGCTCACATTTTATGTGATTATTGTATTTATTTAGCCGAGATATCAATCAGTCTGCACCGGGGAGCACTCCGACCTGAACCGGATCAATTGAGTCAACTTCCTCCGGAGTAGATAATTTTCATATTTCTATTCCAGTTCACTTTTATTGGAGAGCAATTGGCCATTAAAGCGTTTGAAGCACTTAGTAGATAATTGGAGAGGCGTGTTTTGGGTTTTTGTTAATTTATTTTGCTGATAAGAGCCCTTCTGAAACGCTTCTCCCCGGAGGTCTAATCTAAATTCTAATTGAGTTCATTTGCACCGAGATCTCGCCTTTCTCTCCCCGGCCTGCCAGGGCTCAAATACGGTTAAAAAGCCTCTGCAATACACGGTCAGTCAGTCAGGAGCTCATTGTTAGAATATCTCACTAATTTAATTTCCACGATTTAAGCTTCAGGGCGTATTTTTGGGGTAGAACATTCTTCACTTAGGAGGTACAAATCTAACTTTAAGATCAGCTTTTAAATAATAGATGTCACGCTTAACAAGGGTTATCAGTGTTTCCTGGATGTAAATGTAATGGTAAATGATTTAGTGGAGAAAGATAAACAAGTTTGTTTTCTGCAGCCGGTTGGGATGTGTTTTATTCCCTAAATGTAATCTTAATTCACTGAGAAACAAAACACCAGAAAGCCTTTAGACTATAATCAAAACACCCACGGAAAGGATACAAATAGTTGTGCTTTACGGAATTATATCATATAACAATTGGTATTTTACTCTGATGAAAAACAACAAGTAAAGAAATAATTTGACTTTTTTCAATGAGGTTTTGTTCCTTTACCAGAGCGTTAACATATAGAAGCAAACTAAACAAATACTACTATAATAATAATAATAATAATAATAATAATAATACTAAAGTGAATTTATTGTAGAAACTATTAGAAAAGACAAATCAGATCTTCCTCTTGAAAGTACATAATATAAATTGAGTTTTATTTTGTGGATTTTTCTTCTGTGAATGCAAATCATTTCAGCCGAGCTCTGGAGATCCACAGGAGTCTCTTTCAGGTCGAAATGTTCACAAAGTATACAAACAGAATCACTGAGAACAAAAACACTTTAGCTGTGATTTTATAGATTATTAAACAACATCCATAATCCATCTGTTATATGCGTGTGAGTGTGTGTAAGTGCAGGCCTTCACACTCACACACACATTTCACTCAGGACGCTACGAGTTTTTAGGAAAGGCTTTATTTGACCATCAACATCATTTGAACAGCGGGGTTTTTTTTTCAACGTAGTCTATCTTTAAAAATTAAAACAGTTATTTGTGTTTGAATAGATAAGTACTATTTGAGAAGAGAAGGCTATAGCAAGTAATCCTATTTTTAAAAAAAACATTTATAATAAAATGCACAAACGATAATCTGCAGGTAGGTCGTGGGCCACTGGTCATTAAAATATGGAAATAACTTGGACAAATAAACACACATTTAAAGAAAGTATTTTTCGAAACGCAACCATTATTGTCAGACTTTTAGGATCATTGTTGGAAATAACAATGCATCTGGTTTCATTCCATTTTCATCAAATCATTAAACGCTTCCACTAAACGTTAAAATGTCTGTAAAGGAATATATTGTTGTTTGGTTAATAAAACCTCAGATGTTGTGTTTTATTTCCCTCCGCTGGAGTCTCAGTATCGAAGCCGTTTGACCCCGGTTATCCCCCAACACAAATCCAATATTCCTGAAGGGATTTAAAGAGCTGCTAAATGATCAGTTTATCCTCCAATAATTCATGCTTATACATCCCACTGCAACCAAATAACAACTAAAGGAACATTAGGAAGTATTATAATGATGCGTCTTTTCATTCTTAATGTTAGGTTTTAAAATGGAGTGAAGCTTCATCCGCTGAGTAGGCTAATACAAATACGCAACAAAAGTATAAAGTATCTCCTTAATGTTTTTCCTGTGCATTTTTGATACAATTGGTCTTTTTTCCTCAAAATAAAGAAATACTGCAGCACCTGCATGTGCACTCTGTGTCCCCCTGTAACTGTGTGGAAAAGTGAGATCGGCCCCCTGTCCCGTCAAGCTGCAGCCTATGATGTTCTTCCTTAATATTTCCTGTGCATTTGGATGAAATTGAGCTACTTTTATCGGCACTAAATGACATTACCTCCTGTGTGCAGTTTCTTGGATCGGTCCCCTGTCCCGTCAAGCTGCAGCATCGGGGGAAACCGAACCACTGGCCGGAGCTGGGTGGAGCAGTGACCGCCTGTAGCATGATGTCCTACCTCAAACAGCCCCCCTACGGCGTCAACGGCCTGGGGCTCAGCGGCGCCATGGACCTGCTGCACCCCTCCGTGGGCTACCCATGTAGGAAAGACACACACACTCACACACACTTTTTAAGATTAATGCACCAGCCATCATGAAGAAACAATCCGTATTTAACATGCATGCACCCTGTTTGGCTGCAGAAATCATGAAGAACATTCAATACAATTTAAAATGCAGGCAGCTGATCATAAAGAAAACATATCCATATATTTTATGAAAGCACTGACTCCTGGTATCATAAATAAAACATTATTTAGAACGTATTTACTTTATTTCAAGGCAATACAGGTGTTTTTGAATGGTGGTCATAATAATAATAATAATATTGCATAAGACAATTTGAGTTAAAACCAAACTTTATTTTTTGTAAGTAGCTCTATGATGTAAAACTAGCTTGATTTAGCATAAAGCAAATTGTAAGTGACAGTTTTTGTATCCTTTGTATTAAATAGGCATTTAGTTCAATACTAATTCTCTTTATCAATTGAAAAATAAAGATAGGTAAATTATCTTTATTTCTCCACAGTAAAAGGCCTTACTTTGTTTTAGTGAAATATCTCATATGGACGTAACCTAATGAGCGTTGCATGATGTTAGCAACCATGCTAATTTACATCCGTTGTTCCGGGGCAGTTAGGCCCAACAAACAGAAAGCCTACAAGTCAAAACAATACCTACAATACACCAGTAAAGAAGACAAAATACGTTATAGGCTAATAGGTGTCAAGTTAGTGATCTAAATAACATTTTTAATTTGTAATTGTGAAGTAAAAATGTTCTCTGTGAGGTCGTTGTAGCCTATTAACCTTTCTCCGGTGTGTTTGTTCTGCAGCGACTCCCAGGAAGCAGCGCAGGGAGCGGACCACCTTCACCCGCACTCAGCTCGACATCCTGGAGTCTCTGTTCGGGAAGACCCGGTACCCGGACATCTTCATGCGGGAGGAGGTCGCCCTGAAGATCAACCTGCCGGAGTCCAGAGTCCAGGTAAACAACGAAGCACCTCCGTGTGTTCAGTTAAACTGTGGAAACGTCCCGAAAACACACACCTAACTTCGGAGACTAACTTCTGCTGTAAAATGTGTTATTTGCTAACGTTGTTTTATTTTAATACAACGAGACTTTATTATCATAACACTGAATTAGAGTGTCATTAAAATATTAAAGACGTGATATCAGCTACTTTAAATGCCTGTCAATTTCAAACAGTATTTCAACTGACGTTTTAAACTGCTAACGTTTTAAACTGACACTGAGCTAACTTTTTTTTGGCTAGTTTGTGCACTTGTTAGCCAACTAAAACGTAATTAATAACTTATTTACGTGGGATAATTAATGGCTATGTCTCTCCTTTTCACTCTTTGAGAGGAGACATGTATCAAAACAGTGATTTAAATGTCCCTTATTTTGTCGAAGTGCACAATTACCGATCTTATTTGTGTTAAGCTAATTAGCAGTTAACCTAATGTTAGCTAACTAACGTTTTGACTAGCTGGCTACAAATAGACTTCGGTGTCTAATTTCACTGACAAATCCGATTAGGAGCAAAGTCTTAACAGTATTTATAGCAGTAGACAAAACTAGAACCCTACTTTATTGTTCAGTTTAACATGAGGGTTATAAAAGAAACATATCAGTAAAATAATTGGAGGATTTCAGACTTGGTGGCTCGTAAATTCAGTGATTTAAGCCCCTTTTTTTTTAAAGAGGATAATAATTGATCGATTGTTGTGAAGTAATGACTGAAATTACATATACATAGATTGTTTTTTTTAAATGTGTTACCTTGGAAGTAACTATAACGTGTTAGTAGTGTATGGAGATAGTTACATTCAAGTGTTTATTAAACAATCTTTTCCCACCTATTTTATGTTAACTCCTCTCAATATTTGATGAAGGGCTCAAACAGATATAACTATGTAAACAAAACTGCATTCCAGATTATTATTTTCTATCTGAATCGGTCATTGTTATTTGATGCAGGCTTACTGAAGGTTATGTCATTTGATATGAAATAAGGGATCTATACTGAAGGTGAGGAGTATGCCAACAAAAACTCCACAAACAACTCACTGTTGTACTGCGATGTTGAACAAATACTGCTCTTGAAAAGGCATTAGGGGGAAACCAAGGCAGGCCTCTCTCACACGCACAATTTGAGTTATTCTCAGAATGTGTGTGTGAAACAAAATGCTCTACATGATCCTACCCTCTCCGTGCTCTAGAGTTACCCTACTGTGTGGTGAAACCCAATAGCCTGTTATCTTAGAGCCGTCTACCAGGTATGAAATTAGACCCCTGGCTGGTCCGAGCCAAGGGGCCTGGGTGGAAATGAACCTTGATGGCTAATAACCCTCAATTTTCCTCCATAATGTACTCCCAGTTTTTTTTAACCTTCCTGTTGTCTTCGGGTCAAATTTGACTTGTTTTTTAATATTTCTGTTGTGATTTTATCTCATTGCAACAACAACATGGATGGTTTCATACAACGTTTTTCATTTAAATGTAAAGCATCAGGTGCATTATGGGCTGCCATTGTTTTAAAAAAATAAAATATATATATAACAGATTCCTTCTTCAACTATGGCCAGGCTTTAAAAAATGTGATTTAATTTAGTGTAAATGTGGTCCTTTTGACCATAAAATGCCAAAGAGAGAAGTAATACTTTTGGCAATGAGGAGGCGTGTGGCGCAGTGGATAGAGCCTTGGTGTTGGGATAAGGGGAGCACAGGTTCAAACCCCACTGCAGTCAGCATGTCGTTGTGTCCCTGGGCAATACACTTCACCCCAAATTGCTCCTGTGGGGATTGTCCACAGTATTGAGTATGTAAGTCGCTTTGGATAAAAGCGTCTAACAAGTGACATGTCATGAATAAGTTGGTTTTAAATGTGTAACCCAGATTCAGGTGGAAAACAATCTAACACAGTTAAGGGCAAGACAGCACAAAGGTTAATGAAACGCTGAGGTTGTTTGTTTGTGTGTGCTGTTACTAAGTCCTGGCTGTTCTGTTTGCAGGTGTGGTTCAAGAACCGGAGGGCCAAGTGTCGCCAGCAGGCGCAGAGTGGCAACAATGCAAAGGCCCGGCCTCCTAAGAAGAAGTCGTCTCCGGCCCGGGAGAGCACCGGCTCGGAGAGCAGCGGGCAGTTCACTCCGCCGGCCGTCTCCAGCACCGGCTCGTCCTCGTCCTCTTCCTCCTCCACCAATCACACGGGCCCTGCGGCGCTCAGCAGCACCTCTACCTCCATCAGCACCGTCTCCTCCATCTGGAGCCCCGCCATCTCCCCCGGAAATGCTACGGCTCCTGCGGTGGCCCCGATCCCCGAGCCCGGACCGCCGTCTAACGCCTCCTGTATGCAGCGTTCGATGTCAGGCTCCGCCGCCGCTGCCACCTCCTACCCCATGTCCTACAACCAGACGCCGGGGTACGGGCAGGGCTACCCCACCCCGTCCAGCTCTTACTTCAGCGGGGTGGATTGTGGCTCCTACCTGGCCCCCATGCACTCCCACCACCACCCCCACCAGCTCAGCCCCATGACGGCCTCCTCCATGTCCGGCCACCCGCACCACCACATCAGCCAGTCGTCGGGGCACCACCACCACCACCACCAGGCGTACGGAGGCTCCGGCCTGGCCTTCAACTCCTCCGACTGCCTGGATTACAAAGAGCAGACTGCAGCCTCCTCGTGGAAGCTCAACTTTAACACCACAGACTGCTTGGACTACAAAGACCAGGCCTCCTGGAGGTTCCAAGTCTTGTGATCGGGCTTTTTTTCTTTCTTCCTCCTCCAGCTCGTCAGCTTCTTTTATTTTCCAGATTAGCATATTGCTTGTTTTCAAAAGACAAAAAGAGTTTATGAACCATAAGATAGCAGCAATCGGACTTTGTTTTACCCTCGACGTCTTTTTAACAGCAGAAGAAATGGAAGAGAACCAGTCCCTGGAATGCTGAGGAGAGCAAACATCAGGAGCCGTTTCCTGACGATGAAGAATGGGTTTTTAAAAGACGTTGATTCTTGGATGACTTTATGAAACTGTTTTTGAAAACTACAAAAAAAGTCATTTCAACCGAACACCTTTGACCACCAGCTCTCTGGATGGGAGGAATATTTCCCCCTGGACAGGAACTCGCCCTCTTTACCTCCCAATCAAATCCTGTAAAGTTTTTATTTCTGAAATTTGTTATTTTAGGATGACAGAGATTTTTAGTCAGCGACATCGTGGAGCTGAAATATGTAAATATGTATTTGGGTCAGTTACAGTGACCATGTTTAGTTGGTGTTTTTTTTTCCGAATTTGAAATTGTTTATTACCACTTTGGGAGAAAAAAAAGATTAAAAAAAACCCTGTATGTAAATCTTTCCAAATATTCCAAAGAGAACAAATTGGCCATAAGGTTCAGCTTTTATATCCTAGGTTGTTTTACTCAGAAAAAAAAATGTTTTGGCAATTTGAAATGTCTGGGGGTGGGGGGGGGGGTGGGATACAACTCTAAAATATAGATGCAGTTTGTTTTCCGGATATTATTATTCTAACCTCTACATTTTCAAACCCGACCTCCTCTCTTGGGCATTGTCGTGATATATTGGACATGTTTGAACCGCAGCACTTGGCTTGAAATTGGAGTCAGAGCATTTTTATTTTTGGAGAGGAAAATGTGGATTTATTAGCTCCAAAATGACAGTAAGATGTTGAATGTATCTTTAAGGCGAACCACCCTTACATACATGTTCATCCAATAAAGATCCGTTAAGTCATATTTATTAGTGGCTTCTGTCTCAGTGTGATTCCCAACAGGGAGTCAACATCTTATTTTAGATGCATGTTCACCAGCAAATTACAAACTCAATATTCCTGTTTTCTCTCATTTGAATTAGTCACACTTTTATTTAAAAGCTTGTTGAATTCCTCCCCCCTTAATTATAACGGGGGTAAATGCAAATGAGCCCATGATTAATACAAGCCGTGAACGCGTGTGCAGGCCCCACATTTCCATTTTAGAGAGCAGCCAGTGGTAATCCTCTGTGTCTGAGTTAAATTGAAACACTAACATCTTCACATCGCTTTAGAGGAGAGTAAAGTGTCTATTTATTTATTTGAAACTACAGCGTTAAAAAGCCCTAAATATCGAGGCGTAATTGAATGCATCTCTGTAATGGCGTGATAATTACTCTGTTGGTTTCTCCAAAATAACCTGGAGGAATTGCACTGCCTCTGATGCGGTAATTACGTAGGTGGGGCCAGGTTAGGGGGTCAGATGTAAGTGTGTGTGTTTGTGTGTGTGTAGTGCTTGCGGACATTATAAAAGAAGTGGGGAGGGAGAGAAAATTACGCGTCAGTTCTCTGGCAAGGTTGTTTTTAGACGAGATGTTTCTCTGAAGCAGTGAAGGCCGCACAGAGCTGAGGAGGGGGGGGGGAACAGATTAATGCAAATTAATTGCCCCAATAAAAACAAACCGACCTTGTGCAAAGAAATGACTCCCCCCAACAAAAAAGAGCAGGTGGTGAGGGGTTTAATTAAGACTAAGACAAGGTTTTCTTAATATCTCGAATAAGAATTTAAAGTGAGATATGTCCTGTTATGTTAAAATGAGAGCTGTGCAAACACTTTCACCAAAAGTTAGTCCGATTTGATTCGTCTATAAAATGTCGAAGTGAAACATTAGCCATCATAATCTCGGTTTAAAACACTATAATATCAACTATTATTACATGAGGCAAAAAAAAAACGAAAATGATTATTCTAAAAAAATACTGGAGTCAATTTCATGTCGATGGATAATCCATTAATCAACGAAATATGTTCAGCTTCTGTTATAATTAATCAGGGAGTCAAAGGATCAGAAAACAAACATTTCTCGATCTTTCGCGCCTTTTACTTGTTCGATATTAAGTAGCATAGTTGGCTTTTCCAGGCTTTAAGACAGTGCTTTATTATTCCTTTAAAACATGGCAGAAATTTGAGGAACCAAAAGATGATCGACACGATTTGAAAGAGATACAACGTGAAATATATCGTTTTTTGTCCGAGTGTTGGTCCCAAATGTGCTTCATCCAAATAAACCAATGTTAGAAAGGAAAGTAATCGGTGATGAGGATGACAGATTTTATTAAATTGTCAGAAGCCAAACCCGTTGGAGCCGCTGTCCTGGCTGCCATCGATAATCCCTTCCATGAACCTGATCAGATTATCGGCCTGCTGGGTGCATATTGCCGGCCTCTCTGTGCAGAGCCTGTTTCAGCTGCAGCCCTCCTCTCGTTCTCCCCCCTCTCTCTCCCTCTTTATGTAAATGAAGCTCGCAGCAGCTGAATAAATATCTACAGACCGGGACATTAAACGTGTTTGCGCCAAGACGTAAACAGCGCAGCGAGAGTCCACGAACAGCGGAGGATTTGTTCGGATTTGCATCAAACAAACATTTTGAGACCAAATCTTGTGGGATTGTTTAAGGAGGGGGAAATAGTGAGTGTGTGTGAGTGAGAAATTGTGTGTGTGTATGCGAGAGAGGTAGAGCTACAGGTCTCAGCTGCTCACCTTCAAACAGAAACAAAGCGGTGGAAGCGTTTCTGACCAAAAACGACAGATCATGTGAAGCTGCAGCCAACACATGCTGCAGGAAATGTCGCTTTTAGGAAATAGATTATATAATGAAATGCCTAAAGAAGAAAGAAAGTAGAAAACCCATTATTGACATGTTCTTCCTGAATTTGGAGATACTGTGGAGATAAGAGCGAATAAATGGCCCAAAATACGCAGATGTGATCCTGCACTCTGCTCTATTTTTAAATGGAAACGTGTTATTGTAGATAAATAAGACATGTCATTTTCACAGGTTTTTACGTGTAAACCAAATGTGTTGTTTAACGAGAGGACGAGATCAGGTAACACAAATAGATTACTTTTCAGCCGCACGCAAATTATTTCACCTCATCGAGATTTCTCTGCAGCTCAATATTCAAATCTTCTCTGCAGCCTTGTCATTACACACGCCAGACAATAAGGATATTTTATGTTTTAATCTTCAAGTTAAACATAGTTTTAGTTTCTTTAATGGCTTATAGGAGTTGTATTTGTTGGGGTGAGTCGCTGTCAATGTATTGGACAACATACAGCCTGAACAATAAGAGAACATTTCACCTAAAGCCCAGAGATGCAACAAAAATACAGGATTATTATTCGTTATGTGAATTAATAATATATACAATTTAGATTTAACGTTAACAAAAAACAAGAGCTGACATTCACTTTAAAGCAACAATAATGTGCATGTTTAAATAAAGAAAATAGACAATTACGTTATTATTTTCTTCACACTTTTTTAATGTGTTTTATTGCCAATGTAGAGACAAAACATTGACACTCCTAGTCAAATGTAAAAGAATATCTAACACACAGACACCAGCTTTAATGATTACATCACAATTGCCCAATGTACTAAAACACTGCTTTAATTAACAGGCATTTTATGACATTTGAATCAAATCCTGGCATCTTTGACTTATGGTTTAGAAATAATATTTAACCTTTTGTTGAGGCGGAAGATATTATGAAAAACAAGGTGAACATTTTATCAATGAGATGTTTGTTCTCAGACTTTTCTACACGTTATTTAAATGAATTGTCTGAACATTCATCAAGTTTGTTTTTGTCCTCATCAGATTAACAAAAGTCAGAAAGCTAAATATTTTGTGTTTTAATCACCATCTGAAAAACCTAAAATCTACCTTTACCTTAGAAAGGATTAATGTCGAGTGATAAAACATTTATGATATAATCTTCTCGCTTTGTTCGACACACCTTATTTTTATCCACATTTGGAGTGCATTGGGAATATTTCAGGTGAACGCAGAGTTCAACCTGCATGATTCCGTTTTTAATCACATCATATTTGACGATGGAAGATCTTACAAGTTGATACCTTTTATCAGCGTTACTGTTAAAGAAAGCCTTTCAAATATTAAGGTTAAGGTTAGTTTATTTATATAACACATTTCAGACACAAAGGCAATTCAAAGTGCTTCACATGGGCATTAACACATCATATAATATATACAAATAAGTGCAGAAGTGAAATGATAAAACAGACTTCTGGAAAAGCAGTAGTTAAAACAAAGACACTTCGATCCTTAAAATTAGGAACCAATGTCAAAATGAAGAACCTGCGAAGACAAAACAGGATTTCCCCTTCAGATGCATTTAAAATGAGTCCACCACGAGTGATACTTAATTAAAAATAATTAAAAGCAGCCCGTTATTGTGCCAGTTCCTCCCTTGTGTGTGATGAGTGTAGTTTTAACCTGAGCCGAGGGTCCTCACACTCTGCTCAATAGGACCATCGATGGAAACTGTTGACCTTTTGACCTCCGGTGAAAGAGTGTGAATGTGGGCGGACTGGAAACATTTTGTTCACTCTTGTCCAGGAGGTGAACTGGAACCAATCTGGACCTTTTTTGTTGTTGTTGCATGAGTGGCTGTTGATTTGTATCTGGAGACAGAGACAGACAGATAAACACACACAGAAACCTTGTGTATTTGGTTTGTGAGACCGCGAGAGAAAATATATTGGAAGAAACCGAGCAGTGCTGATATGCTGGAGCTGTTTTCTTCTATTCCCATGCAGGACGGCCGAGTGAAACTTGTCTTTCATTGGCTGTCTGATGTCGCCAGACCTTGGCCTCCGAGTGTGTTTACAGGCCGGTATGAAGAGGGGATGCAGAGGATTATATTTACCTGGGAGGTTAATCTGGGGTCAGCTGTAGATGGGAGGAGCTCAGGCCTCCGTCTCGGGTTTCTCTGCCTTTGTTTCACCTTGTTTTGTGTAATATCTGGGCTCGTAAATAAAGCTGGTATTTGCAGTGGATTTTTCTGTCTATTTTAAGTGTTTCCTGGTGTGAAATAAAGGTTAAAAAAAGCCACACACATCAGCTTGAATCCGCCATTTAAACTCAAGTATTGTTGCTTCCTGTGAGGGGATTTCACAGTTGAGTCCAGGTGGAGCTGCTGGAGTAAAAGCAGCTTAGTCATCCTTACGACACGAGGCACTGAGAGCATTCATGACATTCCTGGTGGGTTTACATACTGTAGATTTGAGTTGGGCAGAGGACACGGGTAAGATCAAGCTTTCATTTTCTTCTGGAGGGAAACTCCGGACTCCACACAGAGGGGAGTTTAAAGGAGTATGGATTTGGGATTTGGCTCTAAATGTTGATGTATATGCCGCCTCAGTTTGACTCACATCTCATATGGCTATGATAGTCTTAACCGTACAGGCTGTGAAATAATGCAAAACCTGTTAAGAATGTCTTAAAGAGACACTTTAGTGTACATGTTCATGGAAAATATGAGCAATGCAAGCCACTCAAGTCTGTGGTTCAGGAATAATACATTTACAACATGCTAGCTGCTCTATGAGGCAGTGGCTCAGTCAGTAGGGGCTTGGACTGTGAGCCGTAGGTCGCTGGTTCAAGTCCCCGACCAGACCTAAAATATGGTGTGGACTGCTACTTGGAGAAGTCCCAGTTCACCTTCTGCCCTGCTGTGGTGCCCTTGAGCAAGGCACCGGACAACCCCCTTCCCCCCCACTCCCATTGCTCCCCGGGCGCTGTACAATAGCTGCCCACTGCTCCTAGCACTAGACTCCTGGTACTAGGATGGGTTAAAAGCAGAGAACACATGAACACACATGTGTGCTGTGTGCTCTGCATGTGTGACCATTAAAGAGGGTTTCATCCCTCCCAATTCTATGATAACAGCTAACATGCTCAGAAGAGCAGAAATGATTGGTCAATTAATCAATTAGTTAGTCGCCAGAACATTTACATTTGTCATGTATTACACATTTAAGTTGTTAAGAAAATTAAAACTCAACTATCTCTTGTTTAGGTAGATGTAAACATTTCTGCTTTTTCACGTCCAAATAAAACTGAATATTTTAAGGATTTGGACAAAACGAGACATTTGTGCACACTATTTTTGACATCCAAGACATCCTGGTCTTCATTTTAAACAGTTGAATAATGTAAAATAGACCAATTCATCAACCGATAATGAAAGTTGCAGCCTTAATGATTAGGTAATGTTTGATAGTACATTGTTAAAGTAAAACTAATGTGAAAGTCATACGTTTTGCAGGTATTTTATCAGTGGGCCAAACTCCCTAAAATTAAGTGAAGTTCTTCATCAGTTTATCAGTAAATGAAAGGATTTAAAGTTGATCTGAGGTCAGTAGGAGGCACTTCCTTCTTTAAAGATGGGAAACAAGACAAGAGGCACTAACTTCCCTGACTTCAGATGCTTTTTGACGTCCTCACTTCCCCCATTCCTGGTGAATCAGTAGCATCAGGAGGGATGGAGCAGAGAGGTATTTGAGGGGCTCGTATTATCTCATCTGGAAAGGATACAGACCCTCATCCCGAGTCACAACTTGTTTAAAGCCCTGCAGACGTGGGAATCTCAGCGGCGGCTCGTCGGCCTGCAGGCTTCAGAGTTTCCCACCGAGGACGTCGTCTCCGAGTCTCAATGCATTTAGATTGTTCTTCAATGAGACATTTCTGTCCACACATGGACCAAAGTGCAGCAACTCTGTAACGTATTAACACATATGATAGATGCAAAATCAACTCTTGATCTTTAAACATTCAAATAGCAGAGGTTCGCCTCTGCAGGGAAATTATACAACATTCTCTTAAACCTCTGAAAAGTATTGTTTGTTTATGTGTAAGTATTAAACAATTTCCCCTCTTTTAATACTTGTAATAATTCCTTACATTTATTATAGCGCTTTACAAATAAACATTACACACATGTACTGTGGACAATACCCACAGAAGCAAATCCAGGTGAAGTGTCTTGCCCAAGGACACACCGGCTTTACAGACGCAGCGGCGGCGGGTTTCGAACTGGTGTTCCCCAACGCCCCCTTGATCTGATGCACAGCCCACTGCGCCACTCCGTCCCTTAAGACCTTATTAATACACACTATGTTTACTAGCATTGCATTGATGATCCCTGAACTTGGATATTCCATCAATAAGGTGACAAAACAGGCATCTTCAAATAAAGAAACAAGTTTTTTTAGTTATATGTGCAGTGTATAGAGAAACCGTTAATAAAAGAAGTCCTCATATACTTTTTGGAGCAAAAACACTATTCAAGAGACATAAAGTACATTTAAATCCTTTGTATTTAACCATGTTTTACAGCTGGTGTCTCCAAGAAGTAATACAAAAGGTCAGTCTTTCAATAAACTCTCTCCCAACAGAACATAAGGGCTGAGGACATTTGACCAGAAAGATGACTATCAACGATCTTAACTTTAATCTCAGCAGAATCTGAGGTTGTTTTAATCATAGAGTATCAAATGATAACACTTTTGGCTGAGAGGCGAAAACAGATATTTAATACAGATACGTTGCACCGTAATTAAGTACTTTTCGTGATAATGAAGTATATGCAAAGAACATCTCATTCCTCCATGAGAACCGACAGCTAAGAGAAACCCAACACTATTCTGGGAATAAGACTCTTGCAATCACCCTCAACTGTAAGTGGTTTTCTCCGTTTGATGTCTTTAATGGTCTTGGTGTATTTGTCTTGTGGAGAGAAACAAACCTATACAACATGTAAACAGTCCAATCAGAGCCTTCATTAGAGGCGATGAGGCCTCTGCTGCCGCACAGGGAGAGAATCAAAAACACAACCTGGATAATAGCACGTGCCGCGGGCTTGATTCATTTCCAAATGTTAACAAGGCCGTTTCACAGTATGTTAATTCCACTAATAAGCCTATCTCTGCGAGTCATCTCGGATGGCAAAGATTTGAGCGCGAGGCGGTGGTGTTTTACACAAAAAGCTGCCGGCCACATTTTGAATGAAGCATGTATGATTTCCCAAAGCTGACATCATTGCTCAAAGGGTATCTTTGTTTTCTGTATTACGAAAGAGCAGTTTCACCGTTTGCATGTCGGAAAGGCTACTGAGAGAGGGGAGGGACTCCTGCTCGCCTGTTAAGCAATGTCTCCGCTTTTTATTCAAGCCGTCAAGTCAGACAATCAGGAGATAATGCAGCCTTGGTTTGGAAATTATAAACGTGTCAAGAGATGCTCTAAAGGCACCGACAGATGCCACTTATCTCCGGCTGCCTCTGCAGTGTGACTGTATCATCAGAGGGGAAATATAACATGGTGATGTTTACATAAGAGAAGTATTAGTATCAGTCAGAAATGTAATTCCTCTCGCAGGGGATTGACTCCCCAACGAAAAACATACAATGATTTTTTTTTAACAAAACAAACACAAAAAAACGAGGAGAAAAGCATCCTCGCTGATCTTCTGTCCATTTCCAACATCGCTTCTTGTATATTTTTTGGTGGAAATCCTTTTAGAATGCAAAGTAAATAGATTAGGATACAGTGAGGGATTACGGCTCCGCGGCGCTGTCAGATTAGTCGCTGAGCGCCGCGCGTCGACAGCTCTGACACGACCATGGCTGCTGTTCAGGAAAGGGGCTCCGCGCGACGCTTTAAGACGCTGGTTGGCTCCGATTCATGAATAAAACTGTGGCCCGTAATCTCAGCCAACACACACACACACACACACACACACACACACACACACACACACACACACACACACACACACACACACACACACACACACACACACACACACACACACACACACACACACACACACACACACACACACACACACACACACACACACACACACACAGAGGAAGAAGAAGCCTGGAACATTCAATATCAGTGGTGATGGAAATATAATACAAGTCTTTATTTTTTCAGGATGATTAACGGAAAGGTTTAAAACACTTTCAGTCGTGGTTTTAAAAGCAGAACCCGGTGTTAATGTTTTCTTTTGGTTTAGACTTCACTAAGACAGAAATACCCTGAATTCACATCAACATTTCCCAGGTAGAATATGACAGGATGAAGCTATATCAAATGTACAACTATTACATTATATCACTTTGATCAGATATCCATACAGATGTAGTGTTCACAATGAGTTGAGCTCTTCTCCAGGTAATGTGACTACTTGGCATACCAGCATATGGGTAGAAAGTGAGTCTGTGATTGGTGAAATGTTGTTGTGTCTCTTATCGTTTCTTTGACGTTCTTTCAAACCATTCCTAAATGGACCACATGAAGCATCCCGAGGTCTTCATCGTCCTGAAAGAGAAGAAACACAAAGGTTCTGTTCGATAAACCTGTTTGTAAAAGTAAAGACAGATGATTAACAGCACATGTTTTCATTGTCTGTGATCTGATTGGTAGTTTTACCTTTGAGTTCCCTCAGAAGAGTCCTATGTACCTGCCGAGTACTATTCTGTATTGTACCATGCTCTTTTATCCTATATTCACACCTGAGAGCTGCACTCACCAAACTAAATGTACTTTATGGTTCACTTTAAAGTCTTGAAGGCGAGTTTATTTATATAGCACTTTTCAACACAAGGCAATTCAAAGTGCTTTACAAAAAATGAAAGACATTAAGAAAAGCCTTCCACATTATTAATTCTTAGGTAATTTGACATTAAGTCTATATCTAACTATCAAAAAAGTAGTGAAAAGGCAATTTAAACTTTCCAGGGCTAAAGTGATGTCCTAAAGCAGCTAGTTTAACTAAAAACTAAATAAATACAAAATGTTTATCACAAGAATCAAATTCTCCCATTCAAGAAGCTTCAACCAGCTATTAGTTTGGCATTTTGCTTGAAAAATGCCAGACGATTAATCAATTATCGACATTATTGGAGGACATATTCTTCGATCGACTGAACTATAACGCTATTACATAACATGACTATGAACACTATTGAATAGGGACATATATTATGATTCTTATCATAATAAAAATCAATATCCAATCTACTCACATTCCTGCTGTCGCCTTCACTGCTTCCTGCACGACAAAACCAAACGACACGAGATGTTAGAGGAAGTCAGACGTCACAATATTACACATGCACACTCACACACGGGAGCCCTAAAGCACACAAACACACACACATACACACACACACACACGGTGTCTGAACAGGTTACATGCTCACTCAGTAGGTCGGACATGTCGCTTTTCTGGGTTTTAATGAGTGTAAAGCGTGGCGACCTCTCGCTCTGAGCGCTGTGTTAATAAGGTGATGATTGACATTAAAACCCCAGCGTGCATTATATAGATATTTAAAAAGCTGATGCAAATTCCCCTCCAATAGCCTACAGTCTGGATTATCAAACTACACAGCGATTTGATAGCGAGACAATTGCTCATCACCCGAAACATGGAATTATTAAACTGGAGAGAACAGGAAGGAGGAAGAGAGGATTACATATATGCTATCACTTCGTATGACTTTTAGGACACACACACACACACACACACACACACACACACACACACACACACACACACACACACACACACACACACACACACACACACACACACCACACACACACACACACACACACACACACACACACACACACACACACACACACACACACCTGTTTGTCTCAGAGTCCTGAACACTTCTGGGCTCACGGTCACACGTATGCTCTCGGCCTGAAGTCTCCTCTGATTGGCTCTTCCATCAACCCTGAGGAATAAAATGAAAATGATTAAAGTGTAACATCTGTTGAATTGAGTTTAAAGATGAATGAATTGTATGTGTTGTTGCTTTTCATTTTGTTCAGAAATGTTGTGATCTTCATTTATGATAAACGAGCTCGCCCTTAATCTACCACATCTAGTTTTTACTCCATTTCCTGCATTATCCAGTTTATCTTTGGACAATCTAGAGAGCAGATAAGTGTTCATTTGTTGAGTTATGGATTGCATGTTGTGGCAGAGAGAAACTTTTAACCTCAACATGCATCATGTCTTCTTTACTGGGGCTCCTATTAGCAAAGAGTTTGCTCATCAGTGATTTACACGCATGGTAGATTTGGTCTTCTGTCTTTTTCTTATGATGAAAATACAAGTGTTCTCTCCAATGTGAAGATGTTTTACCTCATGGTGTGGAGAGCAACTTTGTTTCTGCTTCCTACACTGATGAAAATTACATTTTCACCTCCTTCCGAAAAACACAAAACTTCTTCCATTTCAATTTCAGACCATCTTCGGGACACCAACACCTCAGCAAGATAAGCAAGTATCAGGTGAAACAAGTTTGACTGATGTGTATTAATGTGATCAGTCATTGGGGCAGTGCGCATCAGTGAAAAGCAGATGCCTCATCTCTACTAATCAGAACTCTTCACAGAAGTGACCGTCAGGATACGGATCTAGATACTGACATCTTTCCTACTTGGAGATTCTGGACATAAATATGAAATAAATACATAACAATTGTAATTTAAAAGGCTCTAGTGTCAATGTTGGCCCCCTTTATACGCAACAATAAAAATAGCCTCCAATCTCCTTCCTCCGCTGACAGAGGAGTACGTGAGGAGAGCGAGGCCAGCAGCCATCAAAGGAACGTTGGGATGCTTCCCAGATTCCCGTCTCGTTCCCTCTCTCACTTCTCCGAGTCGGATTTGGGGAACGCGTGGATCGGCGAGGAAGCCCCCGACCTGCCATTGTGCTTTCGCCTTCCTCCCTTTTTATCTTGCTTTTTTCTCAGCGAGCCAAACGGGAGAACGCCCGCGCTACAAAGCCTCCCCTTCTCCATCTCAGCTAAGCTGTCATTGGCTTCACATGAGAAACAATGAAACTTCATCGGAGACCAGATTACAAAAAACAAACGGAGGGGGTTAAATATGAAAAATTGTTCTAGAAGGACGGGGGCGGCTTTTGTCTCTTTCTCTCTGTGGCTATTATCTGTTGGGAGGTTTGGGGATCTGCTTTCTTAGACCTGGGGTACTGCACCCGGGCCTTTGGCTGCCAAATCGCCCTAACCCTCTTTTTTCTCCTTTTACTGTTTGAAAAAAAAGCATCTCTCTCTGTCTCTTCCCCTCTCATTCTCTCTCTGGACCCAGCTTGTTTAAATTGGCCGATAGCAAGGGATTTGGGATGGATGGAGGGGGCTTAGAGAAACGCAGAGTGGAGGGGAGTCATCAGTGTTACAGTCAAACAGCCATGAAAAGCCTATGAGGACGAAAAGAACAAGAGCGCCTTTTTGATCTAATGCACACAAATCCCATATAAATACTCCAATATGTTGGTTGGGGTATGACAAGGAATGCCCCTCCATCACTTCACAATAATAGAGACGTGGATGGCTATATTTGTAAGTATCTGTTTGTGTGTGAGGCTGGGACAAAGTGCTTTGAGTGTGTCTTTAGTCACGCTGTTTCCACACGGCATTCATGTAGACGAGTGTATTAAACAATCACTCCGAAACACCGAGTTCTTCAGGCGTGGTGCGGATGGAGTCCGGTGGAGTTTTAAATGTGGGTTCAGCGTTGGGATGGATGGAAACGTAAGACCCGTAACTGATGTGGCGTTGACATTTGAAGTGTCACTGGGATGAAGGCTTTTAGGATGCAGCTGGGTCATTTGGTCACAGACGCTCTCATACAATTCTTATACAGACAATACCGACCCACTGAGGGAGAGGAGATGACAACTTAAAGTGGAACAGTGAATCATCCGCACAGAGTCTGTCTGGGGCTTCTTTAAGAGCGGGTTGAACTAACTATGTCATTGTATATAAAGCAGCTATAATGTGTATCCTTATTATAACAATTGTTCTTTTCATTTTGGTGCATTCTTATTATATTGATTGAGCAATTCGAGGCTGAAGAGTCTGATATGTTCCTCAGGACATATGCTTAGAATAGTCTCATTGGTGAAGACTTAAAACGGAGCTAAAAGAGAGGGGAAATGGTCTGTTTTATCTGTCAATATCAATGTTTCCTGACAACTTAACCCTATCAATTTTAAAAGGCAAATATGGTGCAAACTTCTTGTTTTAATTCACTTTCATTCATAATTTGGACACAAACATTACTTTAAATGGATGATTATGTTACTCCATAACGGCTGGATGTGTACATTGCCAACAAATTCAACTTAAAAAGATGGTCAAATGTGAATAACAGTGGCCAAAATAGTGAGTTAATGCAGGTTTAAAGAAATAAGATGTGTGACAGTGATAATAACAACCTGAAATCACGTAGCAAGCTCACACACATGGTTCATGTCACTCACTGTGTTGTCGGAGTATTCGGGTACGAAGGTCCTGTTGCCGTCTGGTTTCTCTCCGTCTGTCTGGAGACACGCATCACATCATCTCCAACTCTCTGAGGGTCTTCTAGAAAAAAAAACATAGAAAGACAAAAGTATGTACAAGACCATTTATCCAGAAATGATGCTTGATCCAACAGTTTCCTTTATGACGCCTATATATTGAGTAGTCACAACCCTCTTTGAACTTTTCATGTTTAAGTGTTTAAATTGTGACTTTTTTGTATCCATCCATCTCACTTGTGCTTTTCAACTTTTGCCTGTTTTTGTTTGAGAAAAACTGAAGCTCATAAAATACAAAAACCTTAAAGGTCCCATGTCATGGCCATTTCTACTGATCATAACTCCATTGTTGAGTTCTACTAGAATAGATTTATATTGTGCAATTTTCCAAACTCACATTGGTTTCGCATACAGCATCTGTATAGCATGTGTATTCACTCTCTGTCCTACACGGCTTGTTGGAGCTCCTGCCTCCCCCCCCCCTCCCTATGAGCCCACTGTGCTCTGATTGGTCAGCTCGCCCACTCTGTTCTGATGAGTCCACCACCGTTACAGCGGAACATCAATGATTATGTGTTACAATGGCGTTTGTTAGCAACCAGAAAATGACACCAGTAATGACAAACAGATGAGAATGCTGCGTGGGGTCTGGGTGCCGTGTTGGCGGGACGTTGCGGGGCTCGCTGCTCCGCCCTTTGAGGCTCGAGGAGCAGACAGTGTGAGCTGGATTACTCGTGTCGTTTCCTGGTTGCTGCGTGGGGTCTGCGAGACAGCGAGACACCACGGAGCTCAGCCTGAGCTCAGAGTGTTTGTGTTTACGGAGCTCCGCGCAGCACCGCGGCTGAGAAAAGATAAGTCTGAGTGAGTGAGTGAGTGAGTGAGTGAGTGAGTGAGTGAGTGAGTGAGTGAGGTGTGTGTGTGTGTTGTGTGTGTGTGTGTGTGTGTGTATGTGTGTGTGTGTGTGGAACTCCGCGGATTGGTCCATTTGGACTTCGTTACGTCATTAGGACCCAGAAGGAAAAAATGGACAGGTCTTCTCTGTGTTAGAGTTTTACTCGCTACAGGGTGTACTTTGAGGGTTTGTGACTCTGCAGACCGTTTACATGCAGAAAAAGCTACATAACACACAAGGAGACGGGTAATAACCGGAAAAGCATGACATGGGACCTTAAACACCTTGCTCCAAATCTCCAGTAGTTGTTCACTTAGATTCGTGTGACTGCATATCTGAAAGCATTGAAATGTTTCACATCATTTCCATCAAACCATTCAGTGAGCCTGTATCAAAGCATTTGCATTTGTCATCCCCTTCTACGTTGCATCTACAGTATCTTGTTTACTGTATGATGCACATCTCTGTGAGATCAAAATGTTGTCATTCACTGGCAGTGATCTGTACATTTAACAGATATATCTCTGTGTTTACTTCAGCCGTGAAAACACACTACAGATATATAAAAAGGGTTTGTGGAAACAGCTGTGTGTAGGCTTTTTACAAATGTGGACGTCACACCTTGACAATCCCGTTTGTGATGAACATGTCACGCCGCTAAAGTTTCTAAATTGAGAAGTCAAACAGTGATGGAGGTTGTGTGATCAGAGCTGAGCGAGGAACAGAAACAAACGCTGCTTCAACACAGCGGAGCTAACAGGCTTTCACCACAACCACCAAGAAAGGAGAAGTGGATCTTCAGATAAAGCTCTTGTCTCTTTGCCCACTGAAAGGCCCTGCAGTCACATCAGCCTTTGTGAGGGGGAGACACAACCATCAGGAACAACTTGGCTTCTCCTCCTGGCATAAAAACGCCACTCCAGAGAAAAAAGAGATAGCGAGGAAGAGAAAGACGCCTTCCCTCGCACTTGTTCGCTACTCTGCCTCTCACAATGACGTATCTATCCAAATCTACACACTTGTCAGCCAGACAGCTTTAAGCCATTCCCAACGCTGTTATAAAAAGGGACCATTGCTAAGCTGTAATGTGTGTCTTCTATTGTGTGTGTGTGTGTGTGTGTGTGTGTGTGTGTGTGTGTGTGTGTGTGTGTGTGTGTGTGTGTGTGTGTGTGTGTACGTACATGCAAATGCAGGATCTCAGGTTTACAATGGATGCACATAAATACCAGAAGGGGTGCATAGAAATATGGTCCAAGACATCCACCTTAAAAAGAACCACTAGATGCAGAGACATCGTGAAAAACCATCCGAACAATAGCATGAGATTCGCTTTTCTTTCCAATGTCTCTTCCTTCCAATGCAAATCATTTAGGTTTTGTGATTTCCTTGAAGTGAAATGAAGAAATCCAGGGTGGCGATAGATCAGCTGCGTTTATTCCTGATGTGAAAACACTGCTTGATGGTTTTCTGTCGTATCAGGCCGTTAGATTAAATATAGCTCAGATCAAAAACAGCAAACTCCCAGTCCCGATGAGCAGAGCTGAACCTGCTGAGCCTAAATGATCTTGTTTCTTCTCTCGCTATGAGTTAGAGAAGATGGATATCACTTTCCTTTCTGTACAGCTTAGCTTAGCGTAGAGACAAATGGAAACAGTTAGCCTGGCTCCTTCCTAAGAAAGAAATAATGACCGTAGAGCAAATTTGAACCAGGCTATTACATTATCTACTGTCTGTTTTATTTGTACAAATACTGACATTTAAAACTACAGCTCGCTGTTCTCTTTGCTGACTGGTAAACTGTACGTTAGGTAAATGAACAATTGTCCTGCATTTGGCTGCAATTTACCAGCAATCTTACTTTATAAGCTACAGCCTCACCATGATTAACCTGGTTAAAAGATTACAAATCAGTGGTCAATATTGAGTAACTTCTCAAAACTAACATGATTATACTCTTTTGGCAGGTTTAAAGGAGTCAGTTATATCAATATTATTGTCATTAATTAGTTAGAATTAAGCTCTGGGGCTGTTAAAGCGTGGTATGCATCTGCATGTAAATCCAATTGAACATACATCTAGTTTCAGTGTCAAATGTACAGTGTGGTTTTGTGTATGTGCAGCAAACTTGTGTATTTGCCTTCATAACGAGAAGTTGACCCGTTGCAGGTCATTCAGTGTTTGCACAGAGAGACAGCAGGATGTGTTGGGTCGTAGGAACGCCTGCTTTACATGAACAAAACACACTTCTGTTTAACAGCTGAATATCACAGGCAGTGTGTTCAGTTTACACCCAACTGCACACATACTGTACACATATTTACACAAACACATCTCCGAGGGCTATTTTGAATTGGAGCTGTAGTGTGTGTGAGACCATGAAAACAAATACATTTCATTCTCGTGTGTGGATAACAACTGAATTCTCTACTGAGTAAAGGTGCACTGAATTATTTATTACATACACACATACCATAATCAAAATAAGCTTGTAATTAATACCAAACAAATATTTATCAGGGAACAAATATAATTTTGTGTTTTGTTTTGAAGGGCCATGTTTAAGAGGCCTGTGGATATGTGTTACTACAACATTTATTATTTAGTAGCTTTATTATACAGCAATGTGTTCTTTTCACTCAAGGCCAAAATACCCAAATGTATAAGGTGGATACATTTAGTGGAAAAAAGTACAATAATAACATTTCATATTTCTGAAATGTAGTAAAAGTATAGTGTGTGCTTTGGAGCCAGAGCTGATACTGGAGGGGTTAGACGGCCATGCCAGAGGCTAAGTGTGTGTGTGTGTGTGTGTGTGTGTGTGTGTGTGTGTGTGTGTGTGTGTGTGTGTGTGTGTGTGTGTGTGTGTGTGTGTGTGTAAAGCGAGACACCTGTTCACTGGAGCTCTCTGCTTGAAGCACGCCACTCATTATTTATGTACTGTCTTTTTGGCTGGCTGTCAATGTGCTCTGTCTATTTGCACACACACACACACACACACACACACACACACACACACACACACACACACACACACACACACACCCCCCACACACACACACACACACACACACACACACACACACACACACACACACACCCCCCCCCACACACCCACACCCACACACGCACACTTAACAAGAGGCATCAGCTTTCTCTCTGAACTTGCCTTTACCGGAAGTGTGTAGATTAGGGGTGTAACGGTATCCGTATTCGTCCCGTACCGTCACGGTTCGGACGTCACGGTTCGGCACACACAGTCACACGACGAATACGCATTTTTTTTACGAGTGGGAAAAAAGTGTCATTCAGGGCAGTATCCACTACACTATTTATAATCCAGGGGGCGGTATTGCGCCTAAAAGCTGTTTGCCAGCCGCCCTTAAACAACAAATGAAGAACAAGAAGAAACACAACAACAAAACGAACAAAATACAAGAAGAAGAAAAGTTAGTATGGCGATTTCAGATAACACACAGGAGCTAGAACCCACCTGCTTCTTTTAAATCAGCTGTGTGGGAACATTTCGGGTTCCCTGTGGACTACAATAACGATGGAGTGTGCGAGTGGTGGATCGGACGAGGACGGCGTGTCGCCGTTGTTCTACAGTGGTGCGGTATGCTAACGGTAACACACGCCAAACATGCTAAATCATATCAGAAGGCATCACCCAGATTTGCCAATCACCGGAGCAAAAGACAACAGCAGTTCAACAGCTGATCCCCGCCGTGAGACCAAAATAAATAACGGAAGCTTTTGGCATATGTTTTTCAACGGCTATGCGCTCTTGAAACACTTTCTTATTATTTATGATGTCATATTTTCAAGACATTCTTTTTAGTTTTACAGCTTGATGAAACCTTTTTGTTTGACATCAGCCATTATAGATACTATGGCCATCTGAGTGTACTGTGTAAGGTTTGTTTTTAACTGTTTAATACAGTTAATTATTCAAAAAAGAGTTCTTTTAAAAAAAAAAACTGAAACTTGCACTACTGTTCAAACATAAATAACAACAAACCTGGAATTATGCATTTGGGACTTTTTTTTTGCTTTTTCTTGTTGTACCGAACCGTACCGAACCGTGACCCCCAAACCGAGGTATGAACCGAACCGTGACTTCTGTGAACCGTTACACCCCTAGTGTAGATGTTTGGACATTTGCTGGTCTGGTGCCGGCATGTTCTGAAAAATGGGACTAATTTCACAATACAATGTACACTATAAGTACTGTAGATGGAAGAAAACCCTTTCTCTTGTTTAATTAATGTGCAATATTCACTCACTTTTATCTCCACCAACTCCTGGGTGTAAACTCAGTTGCTGCTAAATGTCTGCTGTTAGAGGGTCTGTCAGTTACTCATAGTGTTTTCAGCTTTTAAAGGTCATCGCCGGTTGGGTGAACCAAACTTGTTTTTAAACGTTTGTCTACTTTAGTCGACAGGCAGAAGTAAAGAGACAAATAACAGCGGATAGTCTAAGGTCAGTTTTCATGTATCCTGCCTTTTCATTTATTTCTTAATTTACTCAATTATATTCTAGTTTTTTTTATTTCCTGTCTTCTTCCTTTTTCCTTTGTCTTTCAAAATGATAATTGTATGTTATTGACTTTTTTCCTCCCTCTTTTCCTGCCATCATCCCTCCTCTTTCTTCCCCCTCTTCTGTCCCTTCCTCCCTCCCTCTCTCTTTCTCTGCAGCGCTGTTGTCCAAGGATAGGACATGCTGCAGGTGATGGAGGTAAATCATCTAGGACATAATTAAGAGGCTTATGAGGAGGAGTGTGCGTGTTATGCATCACATTATAAAAAAATAAACTACAAACAGGCCTCATAGTTACACAAACGCTCATTCTCATTCACCGACAAACACACAGACACTCAGCCTTAGGGGTCTGACCTTATGCAGCCGAGTTAAATACCTCTCTCGCCTCATTTGGCTGTCTGTGAGCACACACACACACACACACACACACACACACACACACACACACACACACAACACACACACACACACACACACACACACACACACACACACACACACACACACACACACACACACACACACACACACACACACATTGCCTTCTGGTGTGTTTTAAGCACCAATGAAGGACTCATCAGACATGTTCATCTAGTTCCCTCACAAATTTGAATGTTTTCTGCTCACCCGTTGGCCCTTGAAGCCTCTGTGAGGAATTGCGTGTGTGTGTGTGGCCTAGCATTACTATACTTGTGGGGACCCTAAATCTGTTTACACAGTCACGTGTGGGGACTCGCCTCCCTTATGGGGACAAATTGGAGGTCCCCACGAGGGGGAATCATTAATTTTAGGGTGAAGACTTGGTTAGGTTTAGGATTAGGGTTAGGGTAAGGGATGTGTTGGTTAAGGTTAGGATAAGTCTCCAGGAAATGCATGTAAGTCAATGTAATGTCCCTTGAAGTGATGTATACATGGTGTGTGTGTGTGTGTGTGTGTGAGTGTGTATGTGTGTGTGTGTGTGTATGTGTGTGTGTGTGTGTGTGGTGTGTGTGTGTGTGTGTGTGTGTGTGTGTGTGTGTGTGTGTGTGTGTGTGTGTGTGTGGTGTGTGTGTGTGTGTGTGTGTGTGTGTGCGTGCGTGCGTGCGTGTGTAATCAGGGACTCGGCCTGATCCCCTCTGGGTATGTGCTTTTGGGAGTGTTTGTCAAAGGGCAGCAGCACAGCCTGAAGTAACGACAAAAAAAAGGCCTTCGCTGGCTTTCCTTCACTCGCTGTTTACTTTTATAACTTTGGGCATGTGTAAAGTATTTTATTTGTCTGATATTAAAGACTTTTTTTTTTCACAACCACCTGCAATTTGGGGGGAAAAACCTTTAAAAACACGAGGAACCTTAATGTGGAAACATCAATCTGCTATATATGATTTCTTAAAGGTGAGTTTTTACACTTTAACAAACAATGCAATGAAAAAACTTTCAGTATCTCACTTTTAACAGGTTGTATGAATTACACACCTCTGTCTAACATGATCTGAATAAATTCTCCTTTGTGTTTTAAAACAAGGGTGAGATCCTGAGAATAAAAATGTTATTAAATATCTGAAAAATGTGTCGGCGTAGGTGAGTAACCGGGGTTATCAGAGGTCGGACATTATGATTATTTTCTTACCGTTGCCTGCTGCGCTCTCGATTTCATTAGCTTTCCTCTTGGCCACATCCGCGAGCACCACCTCGCCTTTATCGCTGGCAACATAATGGAGGTCCTTTGAAGGGAAATGCAAGAAAGAAAGAAACGTGAGCGTTAATCTAAAATGAATCTAGGCTCCGATGACAATAGCTTCTTTTTTTGTGTTGGAGGGGTTGGTGGTGGGGAGGGGGTGTTTTGGCGGGAGAAAGAGGAAATGACAGAAGAAGAAAAGAAACGAGCCGTTTGAAGCCCGACATCAGAAAGAGCACCGGTTGGATGAAATGCCGGATTCTCCAAAAACTTTGAAATCAGCCCTCCCTCCCCCCTCATCTCTCTCTTTTTGAACTAGGGAGGATGTTATCTGTCACATTTCAAAAGTGGGAGAGGAGGCGAGGGACTGGTCACCTTTCAGAGACGCTGGTATTCTCTCTTTACACAGAAACATATCCAGCCGAGCACATTACTATATCAGCCTCCGACAATATTGGAAGCAGCGTGTCTCCTCTGTATCTCTCTGTTTGAGTCTGTCAGGGCCACAAAGAGAGATACTAATGCTAAATGATGTCTGAGGGTGGATGATTTAAAGCTCAACGCTGCCACATTAATATCCACACTGCATCACACAGCTGTTTTTAACAAAGGTGCTCTGGGCTACAAGCAAGGGTAAGGTCAATGTGTCTATTAAAATCCCAGAAAAAAAGGAATGAATTCTCGAACTGTTGTTTTAATAAATTAGATTCAATTCAAATCTTAAGAGACATTCACCGCCTCCTGAATCCGTATTATTTCTAAGCAGATTTAAAGAACGTAGTGTGCTTACATGGGAAAGTGGACACAATTAAAACTTCTTGATATAAGTTAACATGTTAAAAATGATTTTTGAGCTGTTGCATTATTCTCCCACAATGCAATACACAAAGGAAATAGACAAGCTTTTCAATTACATGTCAAGATACAATATACTAATATCTATCAAAGCAATACATAATAATAATGTTGTCACGATCTGTCTTTATGGTGTCTTGTCTTGTTTCATGTTGAAAGGTCTTCACTTCCTGTCTTGCCTGTTTCTGTCTGCGTTGTGTCTTGTTTAAATCTGTCTGTGGTTCCCGGTCGTTAGTTTCCCTGGTGTGTCTAATTTACCCGATTGTGTTCACCTGGTGTCCCTGTGTTTTCTCCTCCCTCCTCACCTGTGTCTTGTTTCTGTGATTAGTCTTGTGTGTATTTAAGTTCTGGTTTTTCTGTCTGTCTTCGTCGGTTCGTCTTGTGTCATGACTAGTTCGTCGGTGAGTGTTCTGTTCTGTCTGTGTTATCACCTAGCCTTGAAATAAAGGAATTTGCACTTTAATCTGCATTTGGGTCCTACCTGCTTCACACACCGTGACAAATGTGTTATAATGTCGAAGTGGTTTAGTTTAAACAGATCATATCCCTATGTGTGTGAATGTTGTACGCCAAACAGGGGAGGAAAAGCAAAACTATGGCTCTTCAATTGATGTATAATAGTATTTAAGCAGTTGTTTTTATTCTGTAACTGCGGTTCCCAAAAATAACTAAAAAGAAACCCATGATATCCTGATATGAACCAGCACTGACCGATGAACACAGATCGCTGTCAGTGTGATAAACTGGAGCAGCAGCAGCATGACGGTATAACATTTGGTCTGGTGTCAGAAAGGTCACTGATTTAAATCCCCAAGATCAGCTGTGAAGTAAATGAAAAACACACCCTTAACAAAAGTCAGCATGTTGCCCCGGCTGCTGCAGCGGAGCCCGTCGATAACCAGCAGCAACAGCTGAAAACGGACTGGTCAGCTCCCAGTAGCCTTTGATAGGAAACCAAATGCTTGTGAAGGCGCAACATATACTGAATAGGGCACTAGGAAATATGTGTGTTGATTGTTAAGTGTTTACCTGCAGATGGGAATGAGCTTTTAGCTATAATGTAGCATAGCATCTCTTCTCTATTTGAGATGAATGTACATTATTTAATTTCATATTCTGTTCTTGTACATATCCCATATTCTACTGACATGTATATGGACTTTTTGCACTACTTTTTATTTTGTATTTTATTATATATGTTGCATTGTTGGAGGAGCTCATTGCATTGCCATTTCTACACTATAGCTTTGTGCATATGACAATAAAACCTTTGAATCTTGAATCTATGTTTATGCATAGTCCTTGTTCAATAAAGACACATAATAATACATATAACTTTACATTGTGCGGAAAAGAAACACTGAAGCACCATTTTAAATTAAAAAAAAGAAGATAAAACGACAGATTTTCTCCAACCGTCCCTAATTGATTAAACAGAGAGAATCACACCCTTATCCCGGCTCCCAACGAGGGGCTCCTCAGAGTCGCAGGGTTTCCTCTGGCTGAGTGCAGGGGCTGAGGGCCCATCAAAGGGTACAGCGTGTTAAGGAAAGTCTTCCGCCTCAGCAACATCACAGGACATCAGTGCCATGACTCAGGGATGCTGTGGATAACCCTCAGCTGGCTAAAGCCCCCACAGCTGGGCCTGCACCCGGCCCTAATACCCCCATATTGTTACCCTGCTTTTGTACCCCTGGAGGAAAAGGGTGGGGAGCAGAGAGGGAAAGAGGGGGGAGGATAAGAGAATGAGAGAGGTGCTGAAATTGAAGAGTATGAATGGGAACAGATTGGGTAATTATAGTGCGGTGCTGCCTGCCCTCTGTGGCGAGGAGTTAGGAGGAAATGTGAAAATGGCCGACAACAAAATGGCCTCAAAAGAAGCTAAATCGGCTCCCAGGACTGAGGTGGCTAATTCTGTGAACGAGGACATGGCCCCTCAATTAGATATGAGTGAGGCTTCCTAATTGATAACAAACGGAAGATTAAAACAGGAGAGGAGGAATTACGCTGACATGATAGAGAGAGAGAGAAACAAGACGTGGAGAAGGCAGAATTGACTACAAGGCGAGAGAGAAAAGGAGAGCGGGGATAGAGAGAGGATGACAGACAGAACAGAACAATATGAACATTTGAAGCCGGGGCGCTTTATTCCAGCTTAGCTCCTCATAATACTGTCTGAATCTGGAGAGAGGGAAGAATAAACGAATGAACAAACGAGAAGCGAGGGAGAGAGAGAGAGGAGTATCAGCCCGACTAAGAAGGGATAACAATAATACTGCATATAAAACCATCAGATATTACACCTCTTATTCCCAGACGCTCAAACGCGACACTAATCTTATTTATATAAGAGCTTTAGGGGTTGCAGCGGCTGATAAAGAGGGGTGTTTTAGTGGGCCGTTTTTGGGGAGTGGAGGCGAGGGGGGGGGGGGGGGAGATGGTGGACACTAAGAGGCCGATATTGACTGATATTTGGGAAATAAATGAGGGATTAGGTCAACTGGCACACAGCAGCGCTTACGACACATTAATAGACGGGATCATGTCTGGATGTTTGCAGGCTGTCAGGATCGATGGGATGTACAAACGTGAACGTTAGACATTGTGTGCACAGATAAGATTATTATTGAGCGATACAAGTATCAGCTCATTGTTGAGAGAAAGAAAAGTGCAGCGTATGAACCACGCAGAGACTCCACGTATACAGTATGTGCATGCTGTTGTGGGAAATGATGTTACATTTTTAAGAGAAATTCATTTTCAGACTGAAACACGTGATTAAGTTGAATTGTTAAAAGCATCCAATTGTTTTCTACTATCATTTGTCTTTTTAAAGTATTTACACGATAGACATTTAGTAGAGAATGGTAAACAATATGTTGCATTTGGTGTAGAGAAGTGGAAGTCAGGGAATGAGAGGAATAGTGTTACGGCCGCAATTGTAATAGTTTCGAAAATGTACACATATTTTTTGTATACTGCAATTTTATCTTTAATATCATCGGTATATTGATCGGAGATTTTGCTTTGGTAACATTTTACAAATGGCTTAAATGATAAGATTAATTAATGAGTGATTGTGGACTTGTCTGCACTTCTTCCAAGACGTATTTCTTCTTGCCTGAATGTGAAATACCAAAAGGTCGACTTTATTTAGGTTTTGAGGGACTGACGTAGAATCTTGATAATTACTTTTGATGACAAAACGTTTTTTAAGGCTTCATTGCAACCCCCTGGACATGGTAAAATGTCACAACCCCAATATATAGAATATATACATTAAAGACATTTGTCCCAGCAATTCAAAGTACAACAAAGTACTAAAATGTTTTAGGTGGGATTTCCCTTTCCCAAAAACCCACAGTCAAATCAAATATTGGCAATTAGACTGGACACAAATCCACATAGGCACAAGCACGCAAACATGAAAATACATTTTCACTAATTAACACTCGGCATAATCCCTGGACATGAGCACATATGCTGAAACTGCACACAGGCCACACACACACACACACGCACACACACACACACTTGTTTTCTGACACACCTGTTATCCAGGAGCCTTGTGTTTGAACACTTCTATCAGATAGGTGTTAAGGACTTAACGATTTAATAACGCTAATTATTCATCTGAGCGACAACAATGAGTTTATTGCAGAAGACGTGCGATACCTCCGAGCCCGGCGTCAGATAGGGAGGAAGATAGGAAGTGAACCCAGTGTGAGCGTATCTAACAAGAAACAGTACAAGCCCTCATTGGGGAACAAAAGCAGAATCTGCTATCACACAATTTGATTTAATTAACAAGCTACATCAAGAGGAAAAGACCCAGGAAGAAGAAGAGGAGAAAGAGGGAGGGAGGTGGAGAAAAAAACAACTTGTCGCCGGCTTGACTCGGCTGACGAATGACCTAATTAGTTACATTATCGACTCATTATCAAAGGCTAATTAGGGCGCTACAGAACAGCGCCAATTATGGGGAAAAACATGCAAATGACTCAGTATAACCCCCTGCTACTTCCTCCACATACATCCCCCAACTCCACCTCCACCTCCCCCAAAACACCCCCCAACCAACTGTTCCTCCTCCCCTTCAATTTAGCCCGACACTAAAGTGTTTCATTTGAACAAAAGGCTTCTTTTGGAGGCTTGGAGGGCTTCTATTGTTAGATAGGAAACAATGGGGCTTGAGGGCAGGGGGTCTTGTGATAGAGGGGGGTGTATCATGCTGGGCATTTTTTACAAGAGGTGTGTGTTATCTGCGTGTGTGTGTGTGTGTGTGTGTGTTATCTGTGTGTGTGTGTGTGTGTGTGAGCATTGTATCAAGTCGATGGTGCGTTATTGAGTTCTGTGGGCACGTTTGGAAGTTAGAGAGAGTTGTGTGGGAGGCGGGGGTTGCCCTCATTAACCCCCCCCCCCCCCCCCCCCCCACCTCCGCTCAATCAGCTGACCAGCAGGTTAAGGCAACAACACAACCTAATTAGAGCGGAGGACAGAGCGAGGGGTGAAATGTCAACGTCCCGTTTTTTCTTTTCTCTTTGTGGCTCTTTGCCGATGACGCGCTGCTGCTCTCTTGGTCGCTGGCTGAGCGCTCATTGTGAGTGAACTTTGTTACACATCGAGGGTCACGAGTTAGTTATTATGCTCTAGTCTGTTGTTTTTATAGGGTCAGATGTATGGAGATTTATATAATGGCTACAACTAAAGGGTTTACAAATGCTTTCTTATTATGCCTTTTACATTTGTTTGTATACGAGGTGTAAAATAGGACATGTGAGAAGAACTTGGAGAGATGTCACCTTGTTGATCGTTTTTTTGCTTGTGTCTATTAGCTTTTATCTGCTTTTGTGTCTGTTTTAATTATGCATATCGGCTTTAATATGTGCTGTTGTCTTTTAATGTCATCAACCTGCCAGAGACTGCAGAGGAAAATTAGCTCCACTAAAGTGCTTGTGTTAATTACTGTGCAATGTGCCTTTTTAAATAAATGAACCACTTGATACACTAACTTTACAAAATCAGGTTTGAAGATCCAATACTGCACCTTATTTGTACAATTACTCTGATTACTTGTGAGCTGACCCCCATTTGTTCATAGTGCCTTAAATTGTGGCCTATGATTTGTAGTTGCATTCTCTTACTGGCTACAGAAACTGGGAACATTTCATATTAGTCACTAGATCTTCATGTCCAACTTGATGGTAAAACCGATGTGAAAAAGTTTTACAATTGTCCCTGAAATGTCATTCTTCTCCTATTATTATATCTAAAATATATATGAACAAATGTGTCCTGACACCGACAAGGATTTTTGACAAGCTAATTTAAAGTACATATAAACGAACAGTATGTGTGGGAATATTTACTGTGCAAGGAGGGAAACACTTTGTTGACATATCACGTTAGAAAGTATTTCAAACCCAATGCTACGAATTATTTGCAGATACGATTCCAGCTCCATCTCCTGTTTCCCCCTCACTTATCTCGACACCTCCAAAGTGACGGAGCAAGACCTTGTTTCGCTTCCCTCTCACCTTTTTTTTGTCATATAGCTTTCCATCCACACCATCCTCCCCTCCTCTCCACTTTGCACCCCCCGCCCCCCCCCCCCCCCTCTCCTTCCTTTGCGCTCTTTCAAGGTCCACAGGCTCGACTCCACCTTTTCAATTCGGCTTCCCAGCAGCACTACTTAGTGGGGAGGTAATTGGAACCAGTGCTATCAGTGTGATTGAGGGAGCAAGTGTGTGTGTGCCTGTGTGTGTGTGTGGGTCTGTATTAATGTCTAGGGTGTTGGTGAAGCATGGAGCAAAAGGGGGCCCCATGAAAAAAGGGGGTCAAACGCATAGAAAGAGCATTTCAGCGTGGAGTGGAAGAAAGAGCGAGTTAGAGGGAAGAGGAGAGGAAAAGGCCGAGCCGAGGCCATGGAGGTTGTGAAAAGATAGGGGCCCATAGCGAGATCACACCTGCTCTCTGACACACACACACACGCACACGCACACACACACTCACACACACACACACACACACACACACACACACACACACAAAGAAGTTTTAAATGCAACATCCTTCTCTCTTTTCGAACATTTGCTGTGTGTATAATTACTGTCAAGCTCTCAAATAAAGGCAGAAATGCCATAAAGGAAAACATTCTTCAATGAATGGACACAATTCCTGGTTAAGTAGAGTTCTGGTAGTGAGTTGCTGGCTATATTTGCAAACACATTTGTTCACATTTTAGTATCTTCAACAAAAGTTGTTTGCATATGTATACCCTCCTTTACCTGCTTTTCGCTGAGCACCTGTGTGAGTGTTTAAGATCCGGGTTCATACACTTTTTCACCAATGATTTTCAATGACTTCTCCATGACTTCTACCTAATTTTCAATTACTCTTTCTCAGGTACCACTGAAAATGGTTTATTTTAACATGGAACAGGAAAATAAGGTCTGCAGAGGAAACATGTTGTGCCTATCTAAAACAAATCCAATAGGCTTACTAGCTTCTACACGCTAAAGCAACTCAAATCTCTCACCAGCAAAATACCTCAACAGTTAAATGCCATTTTAAGTTTCATTACTATACCATACAGTATGTATTATCATTATAGTATTACTATTTCGGCGATTAGATGAAATATAAATGATATTTGATGCAACTTTAGTTACATTTCCATGACTTTTCCAAAACTTTGGGAAAAATATTGTTTTCCAAGGCCTGGAATTAGCATTTTGAATTTCCATGACTTTTCCAGGTTTTTAATGACCCTGGAAGATGTGTATTGAAATCCTGTCACATTTTTGTTTCATTATATAAAAGCTTTGTGTTGACAAATGACTGAATGGATTGACTTCAAAGCATCCCATAGTGGAGGAACATGTGTGTCACAAGTGTGTGTTGCACTTTGTAAGAGAGACATTTACTTTTTCACTCACCATAAATAGATCTCTGTCTTCTAAATCTACAGCGAGGAGGAAGGCCTTCTCAAAGCGCTGGTGTCTGCAGAGAAAGTAGAAACAGTTAAACAAGAAAAGCAGCAACAGCCTGTCTATAAAGAACTATCATCAATCCAAAAAAAATACACGCTTTTAATTATTATTCAAAGATAGGTCTGTAGTTCATATGTCCACCTTTATAAGAGACACACACTTCGATCCACACACACCTCTGCATACAAAACTCTCAATAATTGAACTGAGAGTAGCGAGTCCTCGTCCTATCATTGAGAATTAAACTAGGGAGGGAGCGAGCGCTGTATCTCCCGGCACAAAACACCTCAACTTTCCCTCTCTGGAGCCAACATGAAACAAACAAACACACACAGAGAGAGAGAGAGAGAGAGAGAGAGAGAGAGAGAGAGGAGGGGAGGGGGGGGGGCTTTCTTCATTTGATGTTGATGGAGAGAAAAATAATGCAGGTAGGTGATAAGAGAGGAGAGCAGGAGGGATGCCAAACAAGGCTGGAGCTACAGAGGAAGAAGAAAGAGAGAGAGAGGGAAACGGGAGGTGATGCAGGATGGAGAGCGCTGAGCAGTGAGTGGGAACAACAGGGTCTATTTCAGTCAAACAGCCGTTTCAAAAGGCTCTCATGGCAGAAGGGAGAATGAAACAACAGTCTAAACAGGTGCATGTGAGGTGCTTTGCCTTGTGAATGACTCAAGCTGTGCCTGCAACGAAATTCAAAAGCTATTTCCTTTTTAGCATTTTTTAAATAGCAACACAGCGGCAAATAGGCGGTGTTAAATTGTATCTGTGATGGATGACAATCCCACAAAGACCCTTTTCTGGACGATTTTTCTTATTCTGATTATTCTGCTAATGCCTTGAAATAGTCTGTACATGTGTGTATGTAGAGCTGCCATGAACATATGCAGCAGCTAATGTTTATGTATGTAATTTAAATACACTAAGCTCTTATAGACCCGACCTTGACCTTTGACCCCTCCCCCTGTAGAGTTATGCAAAGCTAATTTCTCCATCAGACGATCACATGAGGACCCCAGCAGCACAGAGTGGGTGGTGTTACCTGAGAAGGTGGTGAAAAAAGCGGCGGGCACACTTGCTGATGGGCTCCCTGAACTCCAGTATCACCACGTCTGAGAGAGGGGCGGGGGGGGCGTAAAACACCCCGAGAGCGGCCTCTAGCAGCGCTAAGGAAGGGACAGAAAATACATTTAAAAAATCTATAAAGTGTATAGGGTTTAATTTGATTTGTTTCAGCAAAAAATGTTGGCAAGCTATGAAATAAAATACAATAAAAACGTCTGAAATAAAGTATTTTATAAACAAATTATACATTTCAGTTTACACAGATATGGCTAATAAAGGGTATGTTGGGGAGATTGTAGCTGGCTCTTTTAAATCCTTTGCTGGTATACATATTGAGTAACTTCTTGTTAAACAGTAAATGAGATCCTTAAAGACCGACACATAGAGCCACTATAGAAGTCTAACTCTCTTTTTATGTTAACATGTTCTAATTAACAGCACATTTTAAACAACAAATGAAATGCAAGTGTAGGTAGAATACCTATAAACTATTATAGTTTTTCATTTACTTGGGACATAAATGGTTTGTGAAGGTCAGCGGGCTAATTTAAAGACCGCAAACCTTTATGCTATACTGCTGAGCTAACACCGTAGTATAAACTGTGATAAGCTTGAAACATTGTATTTAATCGTACTAATGTCAGTCAAGTGATGTATACAGGGTATATGCAGGAAGCCTGAAGTCAGATGTAATCCCTTTCAAGACCCTTTCCATACATTTTAAGACCTCATCGCCACTTTGAGTTTTAACCGGTCACATTGGCGACACACTTCACCTCACATTGACTATATACAGTATTGATTGTCCTTCCTCCTTATCTTCCAACCATTTGGACGCTAACTTGCATTTCCCCATAACGATGTTGTTTAACAACCGGCGTAAACGGACCTTCGCGATATCAAGCAGTGAGCGCGCGATGTCCTGTTCAGATGACGTCACATCCAACGGGATGCCATCAATAAACTACACAGAATCACACTACACACCTACGCAATGATTACATTCAGGCAGACTGTAGAATACAACCTCTTTGGACCATTTATATACTTATTGAAAACAAGCTACAAAATGTAATACCTTGGAAAATGCCGTTTAATACTTTTTAATAGCCTTCATTTTGGCTAAATTGATTAATCAACTTTTAATACTTTTTAAGACCCCGCGGACCCCCTGTCTTTGGAGTTACTGCCTCTAAAGGTTGGATGTAAACTAAATTGAAAACCAAAACCTGTCTGCCCACTAGGGCTGCTCAATTAATCGTATTTTAATCGCAATTACGATTATGGCTTGCAACGATTACGAAAACAACGTAATCGAATTTTTTTTTTGGTTTTTCAGTTGAATTATACTTAAAGTTCAGGGTAATCAACTGTTAAAAACATACTGTTCAACATTTTTATCTGCAATAAATGGATGTTTTCAAAGTCAATGAATAATCGCATTTAATTATCGCAATTACAATTATTGACCCAAATAATCGAGATTATGATTTTTGCCATAATCGAGCAGCCCTACTGCCCACCCTCTCTCTCTGCGTTCAGCTCCAGCCTCAGCAGGTGGTTGGTGATGGAGCTCAGCCCTCGATGGCACTCGTCTCCCATGATGCTCCAGTCAATGGCCTCCAGGACGCCCAGCGCCTCTCTGACCTGCCCACAGCGCAGCCGCTGCTGCAGCATCTCCCCGAGGCCCACCAGGCCTCCAGTCAGGGCTCCTAGAACATCCAGTGAGATTGATTTTAGTTTATTAGAACATGAGCAAAAAAAAGAACATATTACAAAAAAAAGTATGTTGTCGATATTATTTTATATTCACACAGTAAACTTCATCCCGATTTCCAATAGTTGACACTACAGTAAGTGTGAAAAAAAGCAGCTTCTTAAACAACTGAAATTTCCAAAAATGTCTGTAAACAAGGAGAAGCAGTTTTTCCTAAAGCCTGAATATTATATGGTGCAATAATCCTGTAGAATAACTCGGAGCACCTACTTAAGCTAAGTAAGTGTCCGGCGCATCGGTCGAAACTCTGAAGCAGCACTAGATCGGTTAGACTGACATCGACCTGTCAATCAATTAGGCGGGAAGTCTGTTTAATCCTGTGTGTGTGTGTGTGTGTCCAATCTATTTAAATACAACACAAAAACATCGAGCATACAGTATGTATGAGATGAATGCAACAACAGATTTTGCCTTTTAACCAGAGGCAATTGATTATGCTTTTGTGTGTGTGTGTGTGTGTGTGTGTGTGTGTGTGTGTGTGTGTGTGTGTGTGTATGTGTACATTAGGACTGCCTAATAAGGAAAGGATGAGGTTTTATACCCTTCCTGGTAGTAAGGGTGTCTCGTTCTGTGTGTAAAAGGTGCGTGTGAGATTGTGGCTCTATAGAGCACACATATGGGAAGAGACAGTGTTGAATATCCGAGGTGATTAATGTCCATTGTGCTTACGGTACTTATAGTAAAATGAAACCACCAAATTCAAATGCATGTTGCCATAAACGAGTCATGTAACGTTTTACCTCGCTGTAGTTTGGCTTATGTCAGGCCGCGTGTCGCTAAATGAGAGTTCGAGCTCTTACTAGGTACTTTAAACAAACCAAAAAATCACCTCACATCTATTTCATGACACAGGTGCGTCAGAAAGGGAGGAATAGTTCAAAAGTTGTAAATAACCTCCTGCACACTATCAAACTTGTATAATTTTGTTTTACTTGTACTAAATCAAAAAGGTCTAGTACCAGAACGTTTTTTTTTACAAAAACGTTTTTTTTTGCAACTTATAATGTACATGTATCTTAACTGGATATATCCCAAATTAGTGGACTAGCTTAGTCTGATGTGAGACTGCAGGAGAAAAAATAATAACTGGAGTATTTTGTTACAAATATTTAGAATATATTTGGTTTACATCAGTGAAAATCAGGCATTTTCTAGGAGATTTAAGCATATTCCTATAAATTAATGGCTAAATTAAGCAATGTCCAAAGTTTCTAGACTTCATCTTACCCTCTTATATATATATTCACTAAACTAAATATTGACACAGCTGTTGTTACGGTCAGGACCGTGCAGCTGATCACTGACAACGGGCTGGGCTGCAGGCAGGCAAAGTCACCGCTGACTCTGTCTAATTAATTGAAGAAGTTGTGTGTGTGTGTGTGTGTGTGTGTGTGTGTGTGTGTGTGTGTGTGTGTGTGTGTGTGTGTATGTGTGTGTATATGTGAGTGTTGTCAGTGTATATATGTGTGTGTGTGTGTGTGTGTATATGTGTGTGTGTGTGTGTATGTGTGTGTGGAGGGAGGGTGTTTGAGCAATTAAAATGACAAGCTGGCAATTAGCAAGCCCCCAAATCCCCTTAAGAGTGGGCTAATGTGGCTAATACATCAGCTGAGCGTAGTGCGGTTTGTGTGTCTACTTTTACATGTGTGTGTGTGTGTGTAGTGGTCTTTCAGTTGGGCGTTAACGTCTGCTCTAAGCTAACTCTAAGAGAGACAATGGATCATTGTGGAGGCGAGGATAAGTCAGTTCTTTCCCACACCTGTCTACACGGACTTATTTGATCAGCGTCAGACTGTCAGACCCACAACAACACAGAGCAGCAGCACAAACAAACCCTACTGAGCACCGTCAACATGACAAGTACACGTCAGAGACAAACTGCTGACAAATAGTTCAACTCAAAGTATAATAATAATGAAAGCTGAGCATTAAAGTCGACCTTAAATAAGAAGAAATCAGCCATTAAAACTGTACATTTAGTATCCTTTCTTTTTAGAAATCAGAATATCTAGAAATAGGAGAGGAAACTAGTTGATTCTTTAATTAAAGGATGCCAAAATAGTCGATTGAACCCTGGTCAGTTTTAACTCAAATTGTTGTGATAGACTTGAAGTGCTTTACTAATCAAGTTAGCAAGCTGTGCATTTGAAAAAATAAACCGTATTGATGTTACCTGCATGTCCGTCACATTGACTCTGATTCTAACCCTCTCATGTTCTTTACTAGTTGTATACCAGGTTATGTAATTATTCCTACTTCAATATTTCACGTCCCTAAAAAAAAAAAACGGCAATTGTCCTCGTTCAGCACATTTCCTGGTCTGCCCTTCCTCAGCCTGTGCCGGTGCAGCCCAGCCGTGGCCAACGTGTGCCCAGATGAGATAACTGGGTGCAGGCAGGAGGGTGAAGGGGGTGGTGTTGGTGATGGGGGGGGGGGCACCAGGGGGCTGCCTCCATATGGAAAAAAGGAACTTGGAGCTCAGCCAAGTCTTTCTTCCTCGCCGTTTCCCGACTCACTCATTCTGTCATGTAGCGGGCCTTATGAAACAAGTCAATACAGAGAAGGAGCGCAAGCAAACAAACAAATGAGTTGGAGTGTGTGTGTGTGTGTGTGTGTGTGTGTGTGTGTGTGTGTGTGTGTGTGTGTGTGTGTGTGTGTGTGTGTGTGTGCTTGCATAGAAGCACAGAAATAGAATAATACACACACGCGTGTTAGTGTGGGGGGAAGAATTATCATGGAGAAAAGACGTGCAGTGACTTTCTTCATCAAAACCTTGGCAGACGATCAGAGGAAGGGAAGCTATTGTTGGAAGACACCCTCCTCTTTCCCTGTGCATACAGGCAAACACAGTTGGATACACACAGTTAAACACACACACACACACACACACACACACACACACACACACACACACACACACACACACACACACACACACACACACACACACACACACACACACACACACACACACACACACACACACACACACACACACACACACACACACACACACACACACACCACACACACACACACACACACACACACACACACACACACACACACACACTTCTACCTTCCTCCATCCACCCCCTCACTCCTGCTTTCAAACTTCGGTGGAGAGCTACTGTCACATCTTCTTTCCAAAGTCACAATTAAAGAAGCTGAATGTGTGTATGTATGAGTGTGTTTGTGAATGCGTGTGTTGGAGGGTGAGGTGGCTGCTTTGGAAACATTTTGATTGGCAAACTTTATCTGGGGGCCCCGAGGGACTGCGCAGCCACTGTAAACGATTTATCGGAAAAATGCATCCCAGAATGCACCTGGGGGGCTCTTGCCCCGGGGCGATTATTGAATGACCTCTGAGAGCGTGACTCCTGCTAACCTTCCCGCCCGTCAACAAATTAACTTCCCTCAGCAGTGAAGAGGTAAGAGTACGACCCCGTTCAGCCGCCATTGTTACACAGAGGGGTTCAGATACTGAGGCAGACCCACGACACAGGGAGAGCCTCTGAAGAGGGGGGGGGGGGAGGTTTGCACATAAGGTTGAGTCAAATATAAAGGTAACAATTAGGGCTAGTAACTTTAGGTTACATAGAAAAATACTAACTATAAAGATAAGATACAATAAGATAAGATAAGATGGTACTTTATTGATCCCAAATTTGGCAAATAATGTGTTGTGGCATTAGCATAAAAAGACACGGCATTGTACAATACAAATTCAAAGGAATAAACAAGAAAGTATAAAATATACATGTTGAATTTAACCAGGTATTATATATACATATATTCAGATCAATTGCTTATTTATGTTTTAAATAAAGGTGAATGTATTATTGTATTAATATCACTCTATAACCATAATACGTTACATAGTCGATCTGTTAATTGTAGCTGTCTTTTCAAACTAAAATGGTCCTGACGTCCTCCACAGTGGACATACTGTAACATTTAAAAATCAAATTAAATTAAAAAAGTCTAAATTAGGTAGGTAGGAAATAAAAAATAAAGACATTTTTTTTACAATTTTGTACAATGTGGTTAACGATGAGCTGAGTCGTGTTTCCAGATGCACCTGTTGGTTTTCTACAGTAAACTACAACTGCATCACTCTAACACCATCCATCCATCCATCCATCCATCCATCCATCCATCCATCCATCCATCCATCCATCCATCCATCCATCTTCTCCCGCTTATCCGTGGTCGGGTCGCGGGGGTAGCAGTTCCAGCAGAGAGCCCCAAACTTTCTTTTCCCTGGCGACATCAACCAGCTCCACCTGGTCCTAGGTCTACCCCTTGGTCTCTTCCCAGCTGGACGTGCCTGGAACACCTCCCTAGGGAGGCGCCCAGGTGGCATCCTAACTAGGTGCCCGAACCACCTCAACTGGCTCCTTTCGACGTGAAGGAGGAGCGGCTCAACTCCGAGTCCCTCCCTGATGACCGAACTTCTCACCTTATCCTTAAGGGAGACACCAGCCCTGATCCTCATCCCAGCCGCTTCACACTCGGTTGCGAACCGATCCAGTGAGTGCTGAAGGTCGCAGACCGATGAAGCCATTAGAACCACATCATCTGCAAAAAGCAGTGGTGCAATCCTTAGTCCACCGAACTGCAGACCCCCTCCCCCATGACTACGCCTCGAAATCCGATCCATGTATATTACAAACAGGATTGGTGACAAAGCGCAGCCCTGGCGGAGGCTAACCCTCACCGGAAATGGGTCCGACTTACTGCCGAGGACCCGGACACAGCTCTCGCTTTGGGAGTACAGAGATTGGATGGCCCTGAGTAGAGACCCCCTCACCCCATACTCCCGCAGCACCTCCCACAGTAACTCCCTGGGAACTCGGTCATATGCCTTCTCCAAGTCTACAAAACACATGTAGACCGGATAAGCGTACTCCCAGGCCCCCTCCAGGATCCTTGCGAGAGTAAAAAGCTGATCCGTCGTTCCACGACCAGGACGGAATCCGCATTGTTCCTCCTCAATCTGAGGTTCGACAATCGGCCTGACACTCCTTTCGAGGAGCTTAGAGTAAACTTTCCCGGGGAGGCTGAGTAGTGTGATGCCTCTGTAATTGGCACACACCCTCTGATCCCCCTTTTCCGACTTCCACGCAACGTTGATGAGACGTGTCAACCATGACAGTCCCTCAACACCCAGAGCCTTCAGCATTTCCGGGCGGATCTCATCCACCCCCGGGGCTTTGCCACTGTGGAGTTGTTTGACGACCTCAGTGACCTCCCCCCGGGAGATTGGTGTTGATCCCCCGTCATACTCCAGCTCTGCCTCTAACATAGAGGGCGGAGTTGTCGGGTTCAGGAGTTCCTCAAAGTGTTCCTTCCAACGCCCTAACACTCCATCAGTTGAGGTCAACAACGTCCCATCCTTACTGTACACAGCTTGGATGGTTCCCTGCTTCCCCCTCCTGAGGTGTCGGACAGTTTTCCAGAACAACTTTGGTGCCGCCCGAAAGTCCTTCTCCATGTCTTCTCCGAACTTCTCCCACACCCGCTGCTTTGCCTCGGCCACGGATGAGGCTGCTGCCCTTCGGGCCTGTCGGTACCTTGCAACTGCCTCGGGAGTCCCCCGGGATAACAAATCCCTGAAGGCCTCCTTCTTCAGTCGGACGGCTTCCCTGACCACCAGTGTCCACCAGGAGGTTCGAGGGTTACCGCCCCTTGAGGCACCTAGGACCTTGAGACCACAGCTCCCCGCCGCGGCTTCGGCAATAGAGGCTTTGAACACCGACCACTCTGGTTCAATGTCCCCAACCTCCACAGGAATGCCCGAAAAGCTCCGCCGGAGGTGTGAGTTGAAGGCCTCCTGAACTTGGGCCTCCTCCAGACGTTCCCAGTTCACCCGAACTACACGTTTGGGCTTACCAGGTCTATCCAGAGGCTTCCCCCGCCACTCGACCCAACTCACCACCAGATGGTGATCAGTTGACAACTCCGCCCCTCTCTTTACCCGAGTGTCGAAAACATACGGCCTCAGGTCCGATGATACGATAACGAAATCGATCATGGACCTTCTGCCTAGGGTGCTCTGGTACCACGTACACTTATGAGCATCCTTATGTTCGAACATGGTGTTTGTTATGGCCAATCCATGACTAGCACAGAAGTCCAGTAACAAACCACCACTCCGGTTCAGATCAGGGGGGCCGTTCCTCCCAATCACGCCCCTCCAAGTGTCTCCATCATTGCTCACATGTGCGTTGAAGTCTCCCAGCAAGATTAAAGAGTCCCCTTCAGGAGCCCCATACAGGACTCTTTCCAGGGTCTCCAAGAAGGCCGTATACTCTGAACTGCTGTTGGGTGCATAAGCACACACAACAGTCAGAGTTTTCCCCCCCATAACCCGCAGGCGTAGAGAGGCGACCCTCTCGTCCACTGGGGTAAACTCCAACAACGAAGCACCTAACCGGGGACTTGTGAGTATCCCCACACCCGCCCGGCGCTTCACACCTTGAGCAACTCCGGAGAAGAATAGAGTCCAACCCCTATCCAGAAGTAAGGTTCCAGAGCCGACGCTGTGCGTAGAGGTGAGCCCAACCAGATCCAACTGGTAACGCTCCACCTCCCGCACAAGCTCCGGCTCCTTCCCCCCCAGAGAGGTGACGTTCCACGTCCCCAAAGCCAGCTTCTGTCGCCCGGGTCTCGTCCGTCGAGACCCTCCGCTTTCACTGCCACCCTTCTGGCAGCGCACCCGACCCCATCGCTGTTTCCCGTAGGTGGTGGGCCCGCGGGACCGCGGGACGGAGAAGCGGAGGTGTTGCCCACGTTGTCTTTTCGGGCTGGGCCCGGCCGGGCTCCGTGGCAAGCCCGGCCACCAGACGCTCGCCGACGAGTCCTCCTTCTGGGCCTGGCTCCAGAAGGGGACCCCGGGCTTCCTCCGGGCCGGGTATCCTCACTTCTTGTGTCGTCTTTCATGAGGTCTTTTGAACCAATCTTAGTCTGGCCCCTTGCCTGAGACCAATTTGCCATTGGAGACCCTACCAGGAACACAAGGTTCCAGACAACACAGCCCCCAGGTTCATCAGGGCACACAAACCTCTCTACCATGGTAAGGTGCTGGTTCTTCAGAGAGGTTCACTCTAACACAGAATTATTAAAAGCTAGTTCATGTCTTACTTTCAGAGGATCACGCATTTACATACAAATATATTTTTAAGCTCAAACTGGAGTAGAGACTGCTGTGTGAAATACTGATTTGTGTAAAAGCAATTAAATAGTTGATAGTGTGCATAAATCCCTATGGAAGACTTCTGAGATGATCAGGCAATTACTCAATTAGTCGATGGATGGAACATTATATGGCATTTTGAGTTCTTCTTTGTTAGATATCATTGCCACCCTGAATTGAAAAAAAACAAGTGATCTGAAGAAACCGCATTAGGATATGGGTCTTAGCATCGATGCGTTCGGACGTCACTGATCAGTTAATTGAAAAGTAATTCTATGTTGAGTTTTTTTTGCAATTTCTCATTTCTAAATCGTATTCCACCTACCGAGTCTGAATCTCAGGGCAGCCAATGGTCCCCCATGAAAGGCCAACATCAGCACATCTGCCTCCAGGCCCGCAGCCCACCGCAGCCCCTCCAGTCCTACGCCGCTCCGCAGGTGGTCGGCGAGTCTTAGCGTTTCCGCTGGAGCCTCATCCTCGGCTACCAGCGCCATCCTTACAGGTGCCAAGCCCACATCAAAGCACATCAGCTCCCCCTGCTCTCCCCCCACCAGCACCACGGCCCCAGCAGGGTGCCAGGCGAGGAGAGTGGGGGGTACGGGGCAGGAGGCCAGGAGAGAGACCCCCCGTCGCTGGTCAAACAGCACCAAGGAGGAGTCACTGAGACCCAGGAGAAGAGAGCTCTCAGAGGGGTGTCGTGAGCAGGAGACAGGGCGCGATGTTAGCGGGATGCGGGTGGAAGAGAGGCGGTGTAGGCGGCCTCGAGAGCACTCGTACACACAGCTGTCGGCCCAGAAACCCTCTCTGGATCCTGGAAGCTCCACTGTGAGCAGCTGGTAGGGCTGGAGGAGGCTGAAGCGGCAGTCCAGAGGGTTTCCTTCTGACTGGAGAGAGCCCAGCACCTTCAGAGGGATAAGAGGAATACATTTCAATAAGGCTTCAACTGATGCACACCTTCCTATAAATGTGATCTAATGCGACAATGAAGAATAACATATTTGCAAACTTTCGTTAATGCACATTCAGTACACAAATGTTTCAGGCAATGCTATCTGAAGTTGTTAGTCATATAATTGTTTAGCTTGAAAAACATCCACAAGTTGAACTTAACCTCCTATTGACTGCACCACTCATTGAGCTGTGTGTTTTGTAACTGAAATATATGGAAGTATTTCATAGATAGCCATACAATTAGTTTCTTAAATTCATGTCATCCAATACTTTGTTTCTAGTGTTTAGTGGCTAATGTTTACCTGCTTTACTTTAGCATGTTAACATTATCATTGGGGATATGTTTGCACACTTTAGATTTAAGGGCTGACATTTTTCTGATGCAACAAAACAAGTTAGAATATTTACAACCAATAAGTCTAACTATAGCACTGTTTAGTTATCAAGGAAACGCCTGCATATGTTTTACTTGATGTATCTGCAACATTTTAACTACAGCACAGAGGGAAGAATAGTTCCTGCAATTTCAAACACTTAAAGTCTAAAGTTTAGAATTAGTGTGTGGACAGAATTGTATTTATTTTTATTTGATGTCCTTAGTAGTTAAGTGTCTCTAAACATTGTGTAAGAAACACAACTGAATCTTGACAATCCAATATTTTTTGTTATTTTCACAATTTTAGGAAATGGAAGATTCTGACTTGTTCCAGTACTGCTGATAAACAAGCAAGAGAAAGGAATAGTTTGGAAAACATGCGAGAGAAAGACAGAGAAATGAGTCATACCATGGTAGCCACAAACCCCCCCGGAGATGGAAGAAAAAGAGCCTTCCACTTTGCTCATAAACACCCGGCTGTCAATCAAGACAACTAATGATAAGAGCTTAATTTTAACTCAAGGTCAACAACATATTCTCCCTGAGCATACCACAGCCTGGCACCCAGCACCCAGCGATAAACAACCTGCTTTGTTTACCTGCGTGAGGAGCCAAGACCTACAATAACATGGTGACTGACAAGAAACAAGTCCTTTTTCAAAATAAATAGAGTGATACATAGGGATGTAACGATACCAAAAACTCACGGTACGATAATATCGCGATAACAAGTCCACGGTACGATAATATCGCGATAACAAGTCCACGGTACGGTATTTATCACGATATTGAAAAATAAAGGAAAAAAAAAAAAAATTCTATAAGAAAAAAATGTTTTACTCGGAAAATGTTTCTTTATTAAATAATAAATCTGATTTGTACAGCATTTTAGTAGGATAGCAGTATTTTAAAGTGTCAAAAACAAAGTGACAGTAACAGACTGGAATAAGAAAACCAGTGTTTTTGTACCTACTAGTACTACCAAACATAGCAGGCATTTTCTTTGTGCCACTGCATCTCACAAATAAACAAGGACAATTAATAATCAGACCCTGCAATAAAATAAATCAAGTTTCACTTTAGTTTTTCAAGTAACTCAACTCAAACTCACTAGTCACTCACTCAGCATCATCAGACAGGTTTTGTCAGTCTCACGACGGTATTGGGACGTTTATTTACCACGATACCGCGATATTCGGTATATCGTTACATCCCTAGTGATACATGAAGAAAGCTCTGGATTTTTAGACCAGAATTCAGATTATTCGGACACAATGGCTCCACTAAGCCAGCAAGCATTGACACTGATGGAGTAAAGCCGTGTCACGGGTGGTAGTGTTGATAAAACACCCACAAGGACCCATCAACTGTAGGTGTGTGACAGGAGACACACAGTCACTAACAGAGCGTTAGAGGAGGGATTTCACCTAACCGAAGCCTCTATCAAAACCCTGCATTGACCGTGGCAGCTTTGCCTACATGAGCCCATTTCTTTTTGCCGTGCAGACAGAAAGAAGGATGCCTGTCTTCCTCTTCTCTCGCAAAGCTGCCTGGTCCAGTTTTTTTGGCAGGCATTGCCAAAAAGGGAATTAGATTGAGGAAGTTGTTGTTTGTTTTTTTGCCTGCCTGTGGTCTACAGCAGGAGAGAAGCAGATGACTGTCCTTCTGAAAGCTTTCTTTCCCACTCCATAATCCCCCAGAGCTATAGCTCCTGCTGCCCCCCAGGGGGTGGGTGCTGTGTGTGTGTGTGTGTGTGTGTGTGTGTGTGTGTGTGTGTGTGTGTGTGTGTGTGTGTGTGTGTGTGTGTGTGTGTGTGTGTGTGTGTGTGTGTGTGTGTTTTTATTTGCGGCAGCAGGAATGAGGGGCTCAATTCACACTGAAAATAATGAAACGTTGACTCTAATTAAATGCATTATGTCAAGAGATTTCACATAAGTATTAGGTTAGTTGAAAGCAACAATATTACGTTTAAAAGTGATGTCAGTAAGGGTTGGGGTATCCTATAGGGAGGGTAGCGCTACATTTCTCCAGGGACAAAGTAACACAAGCATTTCACAAACTTGCACACAAATGCGTAGGTGGATGCTTCGAGTCGACAGAAAGCGGTGACAGGAATCACAAAACCTACTTCCGTTCAGCAAACCCTAACCCCCCCCCCCCCCCCCCCAACACATCTCATCCTCTCAGCTTTTCATCCTGTGCCCGGCTGCTGGTGCCCGCCTGCTGTGCCAGCAAGCCACCGTGGCACCATCGGGGATGAGGTGCAGCTGATTCAGCTCTGCCTCCCCCGAGAGGTGACCCTCCGAGGAAACAAGAAGGGGGAGAGAGACGGCTAAAGAGCAGTGAGGAGGAAGTACTGCATGGCCTCATTCAACCTGCAACAGCGTGTATTTTAAAGAGTTCAAGACCAATTTGCGCTTTTATTTAGAAACATATGTGACGATGGAGAATGATTTCTCACACCCCTGTCCACAACTCTAATTGAATGTACTGCCAATTCATATCACAGTCTTCATCACAATTGGGTATTTGCTCCATTTGACAGTTACTATTGATATTTGAATTATTTTTTTCACACCACGATCAATAAAAGCATTTTCTAGCTTCGCAGGGCCTCACAAATGTATGCATTGATTTATTATTCCTTGATGTTACTTGGATGTTTGAAGATGCAGTTCATTATGCAGCCGATTAAAGGCTAGTATGGCATTTTATTACCCAATAAGGAGCTCCTTAATCTCTAGTCAATATTTCATGAAGGCATATATAACAGCCCCTTTACTCTGGCTTCGCGGACATCTAAGTTGTCAGTTTAAGATCATTTTAAACATGTATACCTTGTAATCAGCATCAAATTCCCTACATGATTTGAGCTCAATTGGACCAGGAACTGAGTTTGAGTTATTTTGAAGTGTTTCATAAATGTGCAATATTTGAAAAAGATAGTCAAAGTCTCAAATGTGCTACATACAGTAGGACATTAAGAGCAAAAACTGCATCCCACGGAGTATTACAGTGAGCGCAGCAGCATTTTGACTCCGGGTCATTTGTACAGCCATGCTGTTCACATTCATGTGTACTGAGCAAAGGCAAGCAAAAGGCCCCTGAAGGCAACACAGCTGATTGGGAGATTAGATTATTGGCACTCAAGACTTTCAGGGTCAAAGTGGGGGTTCACTCTTTCAAAAGAACTGCGAATACTCATGCCATCGTAAGCATGATGAGACATGATGATTGGCGAATGATGACATAAACCTTTAAATGCCGCTGAATATTATAAGAACTCTGCTACAAACTATAAATGTTCCCCTAAAAAAGCGTGGACAGTAGACAGTTTTCTTGGCATTGATATCGCGAAACTGTCTGAAAACAACAATGTCACAGCTCTGTATTACATACTGCCACATGAAACATGTATAATAGAAATACACTTTGGAAGTCAAAACAACAGCCAGTCTTTAAACTAAGTGTGGAGAAAGGACTTCTGAAATACAGTATTCATGTGTCATTTAAATATATTCATAAAAAGCTTTGTTTGCCTGTGAACCCTCCAGAGTATGTTGTGGCAAGTTATTGTACTGTATTCCCCGGTTCTGAGAGCATAAAATAGAAAAATTATGAATAAGGTCCAGAAAGGGAGTGAGTGAAAGGATGTGCAAAAGAGACAGAAAAAGAGGGCGACAGACAGACAGAAATATGCACAAAAGACGAGGAGAAAGAGAGAGAATAAAGTGAGTTCAGAGAGGGGAAAAGAGGGTGGGACAGACAGTGAGAGAGAGAGGCCTCTAGTAAGTAGCTTTCTCCTGGTTATTGGTTTCAGTGACTGGTCAAAACTATTCTTCTCCATTCTTCTTGTCTCTCTCTCGCCGGCACCTTTCTTTCCCCCTCCGTGGCGTGAAAGATAAAGTGGACGGGCCCAACTGTGTGGCTGGCCCTTGTTCACAGCAGTGGCCTTTTGAAGCCAATTTTCCAGCTCACGGAGCAGAGAAAGACGGGCAGAGGGACTCGGAGGAGAGTCGAGGGATGAAGGGATGAGGGCTGTATGAGGGGGAGGAGGAGGAGGGGGCGGCTGAGAAGTTTGAGGTGTGTGAATTAGGGTTAGTGTTGAGGTACTGATGTGAGAGAATGCCCAGATACAGCAGGATTACGATGCAAAATGTTCTTCACACCTAAACTGCCATAATTGGCGCCTCTGAACATAATTGTAGAACAGAGGGAACGTAATTCACTCGACCTGAAGCAGTGGAAGCAGTGCAGCTTGGGGGTAATTCTGCACTTTGGGTTCCACACTGAACTTTTCATGGTCCACTTTACTGTTTGATTGAAGTACATGCTTCAGTTCTGCACATTAAAAAGGACGTATTGTGCAAAAGTATAGGTTAATATTTGTAATTTATTTCTCTACTGCGACAAGTTTCCATGCTTTAATGCTCAAAATGTTTCTATACTGCCTCTCATACCCTCTGTCTGAAACCAGAGCCCAATCTGCTCTGAGGGCCAGCTGCATTGGGATTGGTTGACCGCTTAGAGATGTCCCGCCCCTTAGCCAATCAACCTATCTATCTTAGCTATGCATGTACAGCGGGAGTGTCAAACTCAATTTCATCACGAGCCACGTAGGATGTATGGTTGCACTCAAAAGGCCGGTTGTAACTTTGAGACTATATCAAAAATACATATATAAATATGTAATATATATAAAATAATGCATTATATTACATTATTGCCTCTGCAATGGATTATTATCTGATAGGGTAATAATTTCATAATTAACTACGTCTGAAAGCAGAAGTCTAGGGCAAGTAATTGCAAGTCTATTCAGTGAGAATGTCACAAAATCATTTAAAAAGAAAAGCTAAATTCTGGGGGGAAAAAGTTTTTTAAAAAAGGTGACATTTTGAAGGAAAACAAAGTGACATAAAAAAAAGAAAGAAGAGATGCATTGTGGGACATGTAGTTTATGGGCAACGTGCTTCTGTAAATCGCCATGTAACCATATAATAAACATATAATATTCTTTCAGAGCTCTTGTGGGCCACATGAAATGAAGTTGTGGGCCGGATTTGGCCCCCGGGCCTTGAGTTTGACACCCCTGATGTACAGTGTGTAGTGTAGAGTGTTACATAGTGATGTCATATGTCGCGAAAGTAAACGGGTCCAATGGAGGCGTTTCAGGCAGGGAGAGGGATAGAAACTCCTTCTGAAGGGAACACAGGGATTCTACCCTTTGCAGACCGTTTACATGCACTAAAACCTAAATAACACACTACAGGAAAGGGAAAACCACAAAAGGCATAATAGGGCTTCTTAAAAACAGCAGCTTTAACTTTCTGAGGCAAAATTACCCAATTTAAAGTTGTACATGTAGCTTTCAAATACAGTCTTAATTGTACTGTTATGGATGAGATGAAGTATAGATTGACTTATTCAATTATGTTTTCCTTCGTTGCGAGTTATTTCAGTCAAGGTTGTCTTGTAATGGACAATCTGTTTTGGTTTTCTTGTTTTGCCAAAGGAAAATCCCATGCAGCACAGAGCTAATAATTAAAAGACAACAGAAATCAGAGAAATGCAGATCAAACAGCGGCAGGGAAACTGTTTGGTGACAGATAACGGGATAGTCATACGCTTTTAAATGTTCACAAACATAGACACGGATATGACAAAAAAAGGCGGAAAACATTCATCTGGTGTTTTCCTTTTATTAAGATTATTAAATGGTTTGTTTGTGTGTATGTTTGTGTTTAGGGGGGGGGTGTAGGGAGGGAAGCATGAAGGAAGGATAATTAAAACTGTTAACTGAATGCATTAAATCAAACTATGTACTGTATGTGTTTTTCTCTCCTTCCCCCAGCATGCCGTGGCTCCACTTATCAGCATGAGGAGGGGGGGCATACGAATTAAGACCACATAGGGAAAGAAATCAGACTTTTATAAATGCCGAGAGACTGGCTAGAAAATTGGCTTAGTGCGGCAGATAGCGTACTGAACAAAAGGAACATATATATGAGCTTGAAGTGATTGAAGTAGCTGGCGTCTCCCGATGTGTGCCCGGCGTTTGATTCTCGCCACGGCTCTTACATAAACTGCTCGCTTAATTTCACACCGCGCATCTGAAAAATGACAACAAACGCTTTCATTAGAGCGCGATGCCGCAGCCCCACGAAGACACTTTAATGTTCTTGAAGCGTGGAGGAAGGAAGGAGGAGAGGAGGATGTGGGGGGTTGAAGGAGACAGTGAGAATAAACTAGGTGAAGGAGTGTAGATAAATGTGAAGAGCGTTCCAAAAACAAGTGAAAGCAGCAAACAGCATCTGCTTTGCTTATTTCAATATTCATGTGCCTCCCTCCCTCATTCTGCTGCGTGGATTTGTTTTCCTAGTATGCAATTGGTAACGCTCATCTCCCTTCTCTCTCTGCTGTAGTGAAATATTTTGCATACGCTTACCGATACACAGCATGAGGAGTAGAGTTAAGCTCAGTTCGGTAATTTGGGATCTTTCATGTGCTTTTGGCACGAAGACAACCCTACGTTGACACAGAATCAGGTCACGGGTAGGGTTTTGCCAGAGGCCATGAAGATGTGTGTGTAAAGTGTGTGAGTGTGTGGAAGTGTAGGCGTTCTCCTTCACGCTGAACCACAGCTTAGCTTCTCCGGTGTATTTCACATGGTGATGCATGGAGGTGCAACACAGAGGTGCCACCGACCTAGAGGTGACTAACACACCGTCCCCAATCCCATCCACCACAACACAGGCCTCCACTCCAAACAGCAGCTTTGTTCACTATGTGTCCTTTCTGTGTGTGTGTGTGTGTGTGTGTGTGTGTGTGTGTGTGTGTGTGTGTGTGTGTGTGTGTGTGTGTGTGTGTGTGTGTGAGAGCAACTTAGTGTGTGTAAAAAAAGAAACTGCTAGAGTTACGGTGTGTTTACTGAGTTTAAGGCTTCAAAGACTCCTGAAAAGGTCATAAGAAAGCTTTAACTACACAGAAAGGACCTGATTAAGGATGATTTATGTTGGAAATGTGGAGAAGAACGTGGCACGTATATGCATGCATTTTGGGAATGTTCGAAGGTTTGTCCCTTGTGGAGGAGTGTTCTGGACTCTATGGGAAAATGGTTGAAATGTGATATTCCCACTTCGCCAAGACTTTGTCCCCTCTAGAGACAGGACGGTGACCCCGCATCTGAATAAATGTGTATTTAGAGTGTTAAAGACTGGCCTAATAACGTGTGCGCGGATCATTTTAAGATGTTGGAAGGACCCCTAAACTCCTACACTCAATATGTGGAGGGTTCAAATGATGGAGACTGCTGCATGTGAAAAGATGCTGGGAAGGTTGAATGTTCAAAGTGGCATGGCTAATGAACAATGGGATAGTTTCAGGAGATACATGTCTGGGGAAGGTGGAACCGTGTGAAGACACTAATAAGTGGATGTGGGACACTCACAATATCATGCACTCATGTGTGCTGCTATGACTGGATGTTTAACTCTGATGTATGGAAACTTGTCAATGCCTGTTTTTCTGTTTTTATTTGTATTTCTTTGGTATTGTTTGTTTTTTCTCTGAGTTTGTATATGATGTTGGATGTTTGTGCTTAAAATCCAATAAAAAAATGGAATTACAAAAAAAAGAAAGCTTTAACTATCCTGCGGTTTTAAAATATACTGAAGATTGACCTGTATATGGAGAGCTTTCCCTTGAGTCTCAGATTCTTCTTCCCTTCATCACTGTGACTTAAAATACTTCCTTTAGAATCAGTATCTCGCTGAGACTCGTTCCCAAAGGAGCAATCCACCATCTTCTCACTTGAGTTAAAGGTGGGGTAGGTAAGTTTGAGAAACCGGCTCGAGATGCACTTTTTGTTATATTCCATGGAATGCTCTTAACATCCTGATAGCAATGAATATCTGAAGTGCTTTGACAACAAATCCATAAACAATGTCATCTGTGGAAGCCGTGGCGCTGTAAAAAGCACGACCAATCATCTGAGCCGGCCCGGCTAAAATAACTGGATGGCCTACCTGCCTGTCAGCCTTCCATCTGTGCACAAACTTATCTCGTGCCCTCATTGGTCATGTGCGTGTTCGTGTGTGTTGGAGGAGGGGCTCTGTAAGGAAGTGGCAGAATTTCTCAGGTCGTGTATTTTCAAATTCTAGCGATCTCGAGCCGGTTTCTCAAACTTACATACCCTACCTTTAAGTAATTAAAGGGGCCCTATTACGATCATTTTCAGGTTCATATTTTGTGCCTCCGCTGAGTATAAAACACACTACAGGATGGAGAAAACCCCAATAAGCATTGTAGGTCCTTTTTAACATAACCTTAAATGAGTCAACATTGAATTTTGGTTTCACTTGGGACAGAAACAGCGATCTCCTGGGTGGATCTCTGGGGTTTGTTTGACCTGTACAACCACCCCATGTGTACACAAAGTTTCTAACCTTACCTGGCAACGTTTTCCTCGCTCTTTTTAAGCATGTGTGTGAATGTACCTTGAGGCCTTCAGCAAGCGAGCAGCTGAGCAGGACCAGGTTGTTCCTGTGTGTGTTTGTCAGGGTCCAGGGCCACAGCTCCTCACTGGGCTCCTCCGAGTCCCACCAGCAGAGCGCCATGTCCTGCAAACGGTTCAGAGCCAGCCGCCTGCTGAGCCTGCGACCCCCCCGACCGCTCACCTCCACAGACACCATCTGGACATGGAACGACACGTACAGTTGGTTTAGGCCCAAAATACATTTCTGACCTCCTGCTAAATTATGAACCATCCAGATCTCTCAGGTCTTCAGGGACTGGTCAGCTTTCTGTCCCCAGAGTCAGAACTAAACATGGAGAAGCAGCGTTCAGTTATTATGCTCCAAATATCTGGAACAAACTCCCAGAAACCTGCAGGTCCGCTGCAACTCTGACTACTTTTAAATCCAGGCTGAAGACTTTTCTTTTTGCCGCTGCTTTTAATTGAACTATTCACATCTTAAACTGCATTGTAACTTTTATTATGTATTTTGTATTTTAATGTTTATTTTATTAGCTTCATTTCATTTTTAATTGTTCCGTTCATGGTATGCACAACTTAATGTATAACAATGATTTACAAAACATGTCTCAATAAACACACCATACCCGAAAAGAAGCAGGGAGGAGAAAATAATCTTATATTAGCTGCCCCTTTCTCAAACAAAATAAAAAAATAGAAATAGATGGTCTGTCCTTGATATTTTCTTATTCACAGCCAATCATAACAGTATCGTAGGATAATAAGAGAAACACAAAAACATACAAAAAAATACTTAGTTCCCACTTGACAGTTAACGGAAAGAAACAAAACAACAACAACAACAACACCAAAACATCACATAAACAAGGAAAAGTGCAACACCCTCATCTGAGTCCTACTGGAGTAGAAGGGGGACATTATTAATCATAATAATAATAATAATGGGACCTGCAAATAAAGAACAGACATCACAAATACTTACCAATGCAGGACCAGAGTACATACACTTATTTATTCATCATGACAAGAAGACAAGAAGAACCGGTGAGGAAGAGGAAGAAGATGAAGACTAGCTGCTGTATCACATTCACCAGTAAAAGGGGAAGTTATCAGAGAGCCTAAGTGATTCACTCATTTGGATTCACCTGCCTGTGTTAACACCTGAAGGCTCTCAAACTTCTCCAGCCCCGAATATTACTCGTGTCCTTCCCCCATTTTGTTTTTGTTGATGTCTAAAGGTTGTTTTTTATCTTCCATTATTAATGTGTGTCTGCGTGTTTTGTTCTGTCGGGCTTGTTGTTTTAGTGATGTGCATATTTTTGGGAAGGTCCGCCACGCTCTACGGGCCACAACAAAGAGACGCACAGTAATGAGCTCTCGTGGCGCTGGGGGGGGGGGGGGCACACACGTTCACACATAAACACACACACACATGAATGCATGCATGTATGCACACAAATACACATGTACAGGCAGTGGGGTAAAAAGTGTATAGCACACACTTTTATAGAGACACACACACACACACACACACACACACACACACACACACACACACACACACACACACACACCCTTAAACAGTGTTCCATCCAGAAGCACTTTTAAAGCAGGTGAAATTGCAGGTCTTACACTGTGACCCTGCCTTTCATGAACACCACAGCTCATTTCTTCTTCTCACACACACACACACACACACACACACACACACACACACACACACACACACACACACACACACACACACACACACACACACACACACACACACACACACATGCATACCATGTATACATCACTTCAGGGGACATTACATTGGCTTACATACATTTCCTGGAGACTTATCCTAACCTTAACCATAACCAACACATGCCTAACCCTAACCCTACCCTTACCCTTACCCTAACCCTAACCAAGTCTTCACCCTAAAATTAATGATCCCCCTCATGGGGACCTCCATTTTGTCCCCATAAGGGAGGCGAGTCCCCACACGTGACTGTGTAAACATATTTAGGTCCCCACAAGTATAGTAATGCTAGGCCACACACACCCACACACACACACACACACACTCTTTATCTCCAGTCACACTCACTAACACAATGAAGCAGCTACCAGAGTCGATGACACACACACACACACACACACACACACACACACACACACACACACACACACACACACACACACACACACACACACACACACACACACACACACACACACACACACACACACACACTCTTTATCTCCAGTCACACTCACTAACACAATGAAGCAGCTACCAGAGTCGATGACACACACACACACACACACACACGACCTGTGTTACAGTGTATAAGAGTGTCTAGGGTCTGACAGAAAGGCACGTTATGAAAGCAGTAATACAGCAATGTCTATTTAAATTATTCTAAAAACAACAACAACAAAAACTAAAATCTCTTGGAACAAATAAAGGGTTTAAAGCACAGAAACATGCAGAAATTAATAAATCGACAAGCTGGAGGTTCAGTGGTCCATGTCTGCCCTTCTCGCCCCCTTGGGGGGGAATTTGCTTTGGACACGAAATACAGAGATGAATTAAAATGATGGAAGTACATGTGATGATAAAAGGAACAAAGAGTTGCCTCAAACAGCTGAACGGGAGATCACTGACAGATTAGAAATGGCAAAGAAGAAAAAAATCTGAAAATCACCGGGTTAATAGCACACTATCTCAACTCCCCCCGCCCCCCTCCACCTCACCATCCCTACCCATCTCTTCCCTCTTCCGTTTTTTTTTTTCTGCTGGCGTTTGCTGGTCAGCAATAATCAAAAACCACTTTCTGTGGGCCGGATTAGTTTAGCCCCCCCTCAACGCCCCCCACTCTCCCTTCTCCAGCTTAGCCCACTGGACCAGGGCGATGTGTGTGTGTGTGTGTGTGTGTGTGTGTGTGTGTGTGTGTGTGTGTGTGTGTGTGTGGTGTGTGGTGTGTGTGTGTGTGTGTGTGTGTGTGTGTGTGTGTGTGTGTGTGTGTGTGTGTGTGTGTTGTGGGGGATGGGTAGTTGTGCGTGTGTGTGCACATGTGTGTATGTAGCAGCACATGCATTGACAGAGGTGTGGGGTGTACACTATGGGGGGGGGGGTGTCTTATCAGGACTCTGCTTCTGGAGACAGACGCACGGCAGCAACGATTGCTTTAATACACACCCACATGTACACGCACACACAACCACACACACCTTAACAAAAGGGCTTGGCAGTAATGTGATAATGCCAGGGTTAGCGGTTAGCCAGCTAGCTAGGGAGGGAGGACAGAGTGTAGTTTTGTTTTTGGGGAGGGACGAACGTGTCGGCACATAATCTGACTTTTTACTAATACCTACAAAACACCTCCAGATCAAGCTGCCTCAATACACACTTTTATGAGAGATTATTTGACAGAAACAGCAACGATGTAGAGAGTAAGAGGCACACCGTGTTCCCATGGTGACTACATTCACCTGTTGTGCCCAAAGATACAAAGCTCGAGTTGGGCCAATATTCATAATTTACAAACTGCATTAAGCCAAAGGTTAGGGCACATACAAGTATAATAGATTCTCATGGTGGGTATACTGTAGTAACTGATTTAACTACCGAAATGACACAGTTAAATGTTTGCTAAATTCAGGCAGTTTGTGAAGTAATCTCTATAGACAGAAGTCTGCAAATGATTTAAGAAGCAACAGGTTAAGATGTTCTTATTTGGAAGACTCCTGGTTTCAAATCAAAGTTAATTTATTTTGTTGTCCGAGAAGTATTGACACACAATGTTTCAGTATATGGGACGACATGTTACTGCCTTTCTTTTTCTGTCTTTACTTTCTCCTTCTGACTCTCACTTCATCTTCTCACACCAGTCTTTGTGCACACATAATCTCTCAGGCACACACACATTACTCATGCACATGACATCAATGCGTTGACTGTACCTTGATTTCAGAGGGTGAGAGTTTGTCTGTTCGCCGGCCAGTCTCCGGGGTCTCCTGGTTCTTTGGGTTGAGGTAGACTGCAGCTACCTGGCTCTGCTCCAGGAAGGACAGCAGGATCAGCCGATCGCTCAGCACCGCTGGGAACAACAACATGATCATTAATGTCAAGATTAAAAACAACAACAACATTACATTACATTTAGCTGACACTTAAATTGAAAGCCACTTACAATAAGTGCAATAAACCACTCAGAACAACAAGAAAAGTGCAGGTACATTCGCTTCAATATAAGCCAAATCATTGAAGTAGGGCGGTGGTGGCGAAGTCCATAGGGACTTGGCTTGGCAGCTGGAAGGTCACCAGTTCAAGTCCCGGAAAGACCAAGTGCTACCGAGGTGTCCCTGAGCAAGGCACCGTTCCCTACACTGCTCCCCGGGCGCCGTACATAATGGCAGCCCACTGCTCCTAACACTAGGATGGATCAAATGCAGAGAAACCATTTCGTTACATAGTACCTGTACTACGTAATGACAATAAGTTGAATCGTCTTCTTCTTCAAGTGCATTCAAATTGGCTGAACTCATGAAGAGCTCCATTTCCATTCTTATTTTTCTGATTTAATGGCCAAGGTAAAGGTGAAACAGTCCTGAGGTCAATGGGGAGCTCATTCCACCATTTTGGATCCGGGATAACAAAGAGTTGTGTTTTTGTTGAAGTGTACCTGGCTCAAGTAAGGGTGTAGAAAGCCCATTGACCCATGCATAACGAAGTGCACATGCTGGGGTGTATGGTTTGATCCTCTCCTGGATGTGGGAAGGACCGGATCCTCACAAAAGGGTAGGCCAGTACCAGTGTCTTAAAGCGGATTTGGGTGTGTAGGGAGTGCAGGAGGGGTGTAGGGTGGGAGAATGTAGGTAGATTGAAACCTAGAGTTCAATATCTAGAGTTCAATATCTCTTTTCAAAGACATCAACACATTCAATGGTAACTAAACAAACTTTTCTGAACAGAGCCTAGCCTTTTGTCGTTATCCTCTAAATGTCCCTCTCTCCTTCCTGCTTCCTCTTTTTCTTACCACTGCCTCCTTATTCTTTGTATCTCCTTCTTCCTGTTCTCTCCTCTCTTCCCCTGTCAGTGTACAGCAGGCTCTAAAGGCCTTTTTGTGGTAGAAGAACACACTTGATCCTGTTCAACTCTTCAGGAGCTGCATGGAAACGCTGATTAGCAATTAAGCCCCCCTCTCCTTCAAATTAATCTGTTTATGAAACCAATTAAATGGAAAGTAGGGGGGGGGTTGTTACACATGTCTCTCAGATATCCTGCTTTGAGTTGAACGAGTAAGGCTGCACCCCGAGATTTAGAAATCTAACCGCCAATTAACCACGGCATGTGTGTATTTATAAAACGTGCGGGTATTGGTATGATTACACTTCAAATCATCCTGTTGTGTGAACATTTCAAATTAATATGCAAATATTTACGAGGGAAGTGAAACATCGCATGGAAATACAGAAAAACTAGCAACTGAAATCAGGTCAATGGAGTCGGTGTGTCCTTATGTTGACGTTGGATTAGAAATCATTAGTAAAGAGAACTGGTCCAAGAATTAAACTAAATGCAGCCATTAACGAAGCATTGGCTCTTTTTCGAAACAACGCTTAGTGCAATAGTAAGCGTCTTTGTAATAGATTACAGTCAAATCAAGTTAAATGCAGTTTAGTATTGATCTCTACGGGTGTCTATAAACGGGATTACATTTAATCCCATTCATTCCCAAATGAAGGAGGGGATATGAAACCAGGCTGTGGCCCAATCTGGGACCAGGTGGCTGATTTGGCATTAAGGGCCAGACCTTTATCACACACACACACACACACACACACACACACACACACACACACACACACACACCACACACCACACACACACACACACACACACACACACACACACACACACACACACACACCACACACACACACACACACACACACACACACACACACACACACACACACACACACCACACACACACACACACACACACACACACACACACTAACCCTCTACACAAGCATACATGCACAGATAGCAACATATACATTCATACAACCTTGCTTTATGATTTCTGTTACACACACATTTACACCCACAAGCATTATATAAACCTTCAACATGTTGAAACACGCACATAGACACACAGACATAAAGACACAGACACACACCCACCTAAATCCATTTAATGCCATCTCCTCAGCAGCATGTTGACATAAGAGGCCAATGGGCTTAACCAAAGCACATTTAAACATGGGTAAATGAAACGGGCTATGAAAAATCACTTAAGGATGCTTAATCGCGGAGCATATGCTCAGCTTGGCCCAGCCATCGGCCAAAGGAAGCCGGTAATACTTTGATGGTGTAAAATATGTGTAATCTACAGCTCTGTATGATGCAATCATGGTGGAAACGGGAAGGTAGCCGGCATTGAGCATACAAACTTTAAGGGAGGACAGTAAGCCGGCTTTGTCACATCGTGAAACAAAAAACTGTTCTGGCTGCCGTCGCTCGTTGTCTCGGGGACAAACACGCAGCAGGCCTCACATTCAGCCGGATCCATGCAAATCAGGAAGAGGATTTACTCCAGCGTTCACATACTATAACTCAGGGCCTTCATTCAGAGAATACCCTGGAACACTCAGATAAACAAAAAATCGATTTAATTTTATAAATAAAATGTATATAAAATGAATAAATGAAAATGGTATCTGTGTTGTTAATCTGTAATACTACAGTGTTACATTGATTTGTTTGTCCTTCTCGGACCATGCTACGCATTTCAGTGGTTTTGTGTTAGAAAAGAAAGCAACCAATCAGATCTTGTCCTTCAACAAGGTATTCTACATCCTTGATCGAATGCCCTGGCCGTTGCACTGAATGAGAGCGTACGTTTGGACTGACAGTTTGATCAACCAATCATATATTGATTTGTAGCCAATGGGCGTATTCTTTCAGTTTCCCTCGGTTCCAGGGTGCTTTAGAGCAGTGCTTCTCAACTGGTCAGTAGGGGTGGGCGATACCACAAAATCTGGATTCGATCCGATACCAAGTATTTCAGGGCCAGTATCGCCGATACCGATATCGATACCGATATTTTTTTTAATGAAAAGCGTCTTATGTACTTTCATATAGGGGAGAGCTGCATGACATGGTTTTTGAGCTGAAATCATCATAAATAGACTAAATCTGAATTCATTTTCATGAATAAAGACAGGACAGTTTTTATAGACAAATACACGTTTTACTTTTGCAAATTTAAAGTGCAAACGTGAAAAATAACAATACAAAGTGGCCAAAGTAGCGAACTGTCTTCTTGCACACATCACAGTTCGCTAAGTTTTAATGGCCAGTTGTGAAATTGCTCCACACAACGCTGCTCTTTCTCTCAGCCATCATGCGCGTGTCTGTGTTGCACTCGCGAGTCGCTGGTTGCTGCTGTCCTGCCCTGCTGGCTGCTGTCAGTCAGCTTGATAATCGGCGTTCAGGCAGGGAGCCTCGAGGAGAAGAGGACAGCAGTGGAGAGAGAAGAAAAGAGCATATACTTGTGTTCGTCTGCACATAGTTTTTTGAAGAAATTGACGAGTAGAGGAGACGAGAAAAAAAGTATAACCGTATCGATCCTATTGGCTCTAGTATCGATATTTTGAAACGTAACGTAATATCGGAGGTATCGATATTTTGGGATCGATCCGCCCACCCCTACTGGTCAGGCCTCGGGACCCACTTTTTACTTGGTCAATACATCGCGACCCAACATTTTGAAGCACTCAAATCTATTCAACAAAAAAACGTGCTGTAATATATGCTTTTCAGCATACAATATTAATTAAAGTGAAGTACAGTGCATATATCCCTTATATCCCTTCACAGAACTAAAGTATGCTTTTAAAAAGGTTTAATGAGATGATGGAATCAAAGCTGAACTATATAAAAAGGCACACATGCTGAAAACCCAACCCCAGCAGGGGGTCTGGGGGGATTCTCCCCCAGGAGATTTTTAGAAATACTAACATAAACTATGCATTCTGGTACTCTGAGAAGAAAATAAATAAATCTATTACTACCCGACATATTAATAATATGTTATGCCATTGTTTGTTTTTCACTTTGTTCTGACATCTTGCTGCGAGAAGAGTAAAGAGGAGATAGTCCTGTGTGACTTACTTTAAATTGTGGGCAGGGGCGGACTGGCCATTGGGAATACCGGGAGTTTCCCCGGTGGGCCGGTGCTGTGTGTGGGCCGGAGGGCCATAAAAAAAAAAAAGGTTTATAAAAAAAAAAAACGGAATACATGTAACGGTACAAAAATACAATACAAAAATCAAGTAACTGTATTCAGCTCGCGTTACATTTGAAAAACGAGTAATCTGATTACAGTTACTTTCGTAAACCTGAAGTGAATACATTTTGGATTACTTATTGGAATTATTGGTGGAAATATTTCCTCACAACATTTAATATTCATTACTAAAAGGTACAGCCGAATCATCACAGCGCACAAAACCTATTACCGCCGCAGATGGACCAAAAAGGGGAGCGTTTGAAAAAAAATTGCGGGTCCGCTCAGTGAAACAATAACAACGTAACATGGAGGAACAAAAGTCTGCGTTGAAATCGTGTGTGTGTGTGTGTGTGTGTGTGTGTGTGTGTGTGTGTGTGTGTGTGGTGTGTGTGGTGTGTGTGTAGAGGTGTGTGTGGTTAAAACACATCAGCCACACCGCTCTTTAGCCTTTCTAATGATTCTGAAGATAAACACAGTGAAGGCGGTGCGTGAAAGGCACTGCGCGCTCCTCTTCTCAGAGGCTGAGTTAACCCTCCCGCTGCCTCCTGGTGCTGCAGAGATTTCATGAAGTGAAGGAGGTTTTCCTTCTATAAAGCAGCTGCGGGCAGCAGATACTGTGAGAGTCACAGACATGAATACATAGATCAAAGCAGACTGGTGCACACACTCTCCTGTTTTGCCAATCCGGTGCTTAAACAAATATAGCTCTACAACACCCCTGGCCGAAATGTCCTTAAAATGAAGTCCGAGTTCGACATTTTAATTCATGTCCTGCCAACACTGGCAGGACAGACACG